TCTCTCTCTGTCTCCCCCACCCACCCACCCAGGGCCTTGCCTTATACATGGTAAGCAAGACCTTTACCACTTAACTACATCCCCAGCCCTCAGTTTATTTCCTTTTTGGAGACAAGGTCTCATTAAGTTTCCCAGATTGGCCTTGAACTCGCTGTGTAGCAAGCAGGCCTTGAATTAATGATCCCTTTGCCTCAGTTTCCCAGGTACCTAAGATTACAGACCTGAGCCACAGACTCTGCTAGTCTTTAACATCTTTTGTTGTTGTTTGGTTTGGTTTGGATTTAGAACTCTGTGTAGCTACAGATGACCTTGAACTTCACCTTCCTGAAGATCAAATCCAGGGCTTGAATACATGCTAGGCAAACACTCCACTAACCTAACTACAAACAACCCCAGCCCCTAGTCTTTAACTTAGAAAAAAAAAATTATAGTTGATTTCTCTATTTGTATGCCATGGTATGCATGTACAGGTCAGAGGACAACACTTGGGAGTAGAGTCTCTCCTTCCACTATGTGGATCCTGGGGATCAAACTCTTGACATCAGACTTGATGGCAAATTCCTTTACCTCCTGAATTATCTGACCACCAACCCCACCCTACCCCACTCTAACTTTTCTGTTTCTTTGATTTTTGTTTTTTAGCATGGTCTCCCTATGTAGTCCTGACTGACCTGGAACTCACTGTGTAGACCAGGCTGGCCTCAAACTCATAGAGATCCACCAGTCTCTGCCTTCCAAGGGCTAGAGTTAAAAGTGTGATTTACCATGTCCAGCCTATAGTCTTTAATGAACTTAAAAGTGAGAGGCTGTTTTTTGGATAATGGGTAGGGTGAAGCCTTCAGATGTGGGCCAGATGATTTAGGAATAGCCAGAAGTCTGTGGTCACACTACTGAAGGGTGGTCCAGATTGAGTCTTAGAGGGACAGCAACAGTGTTGCAGGTGGGGATATAGCTCAGTTGTAGAATGCTGGCTTAACATGCATCAAGCCCTGGGTTCAATCCCTGCACTGAATAAATAGGAAGCAGTGGCCTGTAATTTCAGCCCTCTGGAAGTGGGGACAGGAGGATCAAGAATTCAAAATCATCTACCAGCTACATAGAGAGTTTGAAGCCAACTTGTGATATGAGACCCTGTTTCAAAGAATAGCAACAACAACGGGTTTGGGGGATGTCATAGCATGTAAAGTGCTGCACATGCATGAGAACCTGAGTTCAATTCCCCAGCACCCACATAAAAGCAGGGTGTGGGTTGCAGCACACCCTTCTTCTGGGGGAAGGAGACAGGTGGATCCTGGGGGCTTGCTGTGGAGCCAGCCTAGTTGAAACAGTGAACTTCGGGTTCAGTGAGAAACCCTGTCTCAAAACAAGGTGGAGAGTGAATCGAGGAAGACACCTCGAAGTCAACCTTTGGCCTCCACATGCCCTACATGGGCAAATGTACCTGCCCATACATGCATATCACACACATACATACACACACACACACAGAGTATTAACTAAAAAAATAAAAATTTTAAGAATTTTTGAAAGAGGGACAAGAACAATCTCAATATGCTTGACTGGGTAGGCATGCCCCACACTTTCCTTCCATTGTGGGTGTCACCAAGGTGAGGGCTGAAGCAGCTCAAATGCTCCATGAGGGGGAGGAAGCTGTGGGATGATGGGGAGGGTCCCCACAAAGCCTGGAGCCTTATCAGCCTTTCTCCTGCACCGGAAACCACAGGAAACCAGGTCAGTGTGTGGGGCTGCTCCCTCTGCTCCAGAGCTCAGCTATGACCTATGGGCTTCCTGAGCAGGCTGAACTATTTAGTAGGTCCTTGAAACTGAAGACCACTTTGGCTTGAAACATTTTACCAAGAAGAGCTAATGGATACATAGAGACAGCTGGGCTATTGTTGAGAGCCAGGTAGGTAGCTGGAATACATATGGGGGACATAGGAGGTCTATTTATGTGTGTTCTATAGTTTTTAAAAATTCTTCCCCCCCTCCCAACTTTAAATGATGCACCAGTCACCTCTGTGTCTTCAGCACTCAGTGTGGATTAATGTTTAACAGCTCTGTTGATTCTCTAATCGAGTGATGAGTACCTGTCAATGGGAGACCCAATTTCTAGAGCATGTTAATAGATGTGTCAGACCCACAACAGTGTTTCAGGAGTAGAAGGGACTGAGAAATGGGTGCACCTCCTCAATGCGGTGCTGGTCCCTTTCCTGTTGGTTCTCTGCCACACCTAGAGCCCCTGTCTTTGAGGTGAAGGCAGTAAAGTTTTCTAGAGAACAAGTGTTCCTCATTACCTCTGCTTACTAGCTTGAAGGAATGTGACCTAGCCTGCTGGATAGGATACAGGAGGAGCTTTGGGGCAGGGTGGAGCCAGGGCAGGAGTGGGTGAGATCTCCTGCTGGTACTGAGTGCTCCCACAGCTCCACAGCCAGGTCTGCTGCCCACTAGCAGACGACAAAGCCATGGTCTCAGTGCCCTGATCTCGCAGAAGCTCATGGGGAGGTGCAGATTGGCAGTTCTGCTCCTGCCTCTCTTCCTGCCGCACATCAGCCTCTCCGTGTCTGCGGAGATTGGCTGCCCCAACCTGCCACGCTGGATCTCCCGACGTCTGCTGGCCTTTCACGTGGTAAGGTGCTGCTGCTAGGTAGGGGGACACCTACTTGACAGAAGGTAGGTGTTCTCCTGCCTGCCCTTTCCGACCTCTGTAGTCTCTGTGCTCTAGTGTGCCTCATCGTGCCCTCTATGTGGTATTGAAGTGATTGATAAGGTCCTGGTGCTGAGGTCCTCAGCAGGGTGGAGCTGGGAAGAAAAATGCCAACGTGGATGGACAGTTAGCCATGGGCCTCACAACTGGATGCTTTGAAGCAAAGAGATCAAGGAGAATGCTTCTTATGGGAGTCCCTTCTAATAATGCCTCTCCTTTCTTTTCACTACTGGGCCCTGTACCTTCAGGATAAAAGTTTCACTGGTGAGTCTTACTTCCTGCCCTACTTCTCTTCCCCACAGTCCCTTTTGTTCCAGATCCCAGGGAGCCCTCCATGGTAATTTTGGTTCCCAACGTTGGGAAGTAGCTTAGTATCAATGAGAATGTACAGGACTAGTCTAGATTTGCATTGCAGTCTTCCCCAGACTCTGGGAACACATAGGCAGTGCAGTTTACCTCCCACCCCACATCTAACCCCCACTTTCTGAGTACAGGAATGGAATTGAAATGATTGTATAGTGAGGACGGTGTTGCTTCCAGCCTGTGGGTGGATAAAATGAGGAACATGGTAAATCTCCAGGCACTTCTTACATGTTGGTTCCTCCTTTAACTAGTTCTTCACTCCTATCAGTAATATAATAATCTTTCATATCTTGTGGTATATTCTATTTTACCCAGCATTTCTCCAAGTAGTACATTACTTGGTCTTTACAACAACCCCACTTTATGAATGAAGCAGTCTACACCTAGGTCCTATAACTTTTCCAAGATCATACTTGCAGGATATGTCAGAGCTCAGCCTCAAATCCAGTTGGAAGGAGAAGAGACCTCCTTAGACCCTGCTCTTTTTTTTTAAAAAAAAAAAAAAACCTTTTTGTTGTTGTTTTGAGACAGGGTCTCATTATGTAGCTAGCCTCAAGGCCTTCATCTTTTGATCCTCATGTGTCAGTTTCCCAAGTGATGAGATTACAGGCATGCTCTCACTATGCTGACTTTCCTTCTGTCTTACACAGGAAGTTCTACTCAAATCCCCTACCATACTCTTCTCTCCACAAAGCCTTGGCATGCTCAGGTCTGGCATTGGTCATACTGTTTGTGCCTGCGTCTGGTGTCACATCCTTCAGGTAGGAGACCTTTGAGCCATTCTCAGTGGAGGTGTGACTTGGGGACATTTGAAGGGCCCCTACCTAGACTGAGGCAAGTGTCACTTATGGCACCAGAATAGATTTTGTTCTTTAAGTTCAACAGGGACTTGGAACATCCTAGAATAGCATGTTTCATACTCATGGGAGCAACTGTATGACTTTGTGAGGATGCTGTTTTTTCATCTGGTACCAATCCCTAAAATTTTTGGATTCTTTGAGCTTGGTATTGTTACTTTCTATTTATAAAATAGGATCTTTTAGGGGCTGGAGAGATGGCTCAGCGGCTAAGAACACTTCTGTTCTTGCAGAAGACCCAGGTTAAAATCCCAGCACCCACATGGCAGCCAACAACTGTCTGTAACTCCAGTCCCAGGGGATCCGACAGCCTCTTCTGTCCTCCGTGGGCATTGCACGACACGGGTGCACTTACCCACATGCAGGCAATGCACGCATGCACATAAAATAAAAAAATAAAATACTTTAAAATATAGGATCTTTTTATTCACTTCTATATTTTCATTGCCTCATTGGTATATTCTAAATATACTACTTATAAATTGGTAGTTTAAAATTTTTCAGTGTTAGAAATCATGCTACAATGAATACCTACCTTTGTAGGAAGTGTGTGTGTGTGTGTGTGTGTGGTTGTGTATCTTTTTTCTCTACCTAAGAAATTCTTATTTTAGTATCTTTTTAAAAATTTTTATTTATTATTTTTATTTTATGTATATGCGTGTATTGCCTGAATGTAGATGAGTGCACCCATGTCGTGCAATGCCCGTGGAGGTCAGAAGAGGCTGTCAGATCCCCTGGGACTGGAGTTACAGACTCCACCATATCTTAGCATATCTTTTAAAAAATATTTTATTTATGAGGCTGGAGAGACGGCTCAGCGGTTAAGAGCACTGACTGCTCTTGTAGAGGACCCAGGTTCAATTCCCAGCACCCACATGACAGCTATGAACCATCCTTCACTCTTCTGACCTCTGCGGCATTGCATGACATGGGTGCACTCACATACATGCAGACACTGTACTCATACACATAGTGCCTGTATGTGTATGAGTGTAGTGCCTGTAGGTGTGTAAGTGCATCTGTGTTGTACAATCCTGGGGAGGACAGAAGAGGGTGTTGGATCCCTGGAACTGGGGGCAGTTGTTAGCCACCATGTAGATGCTGGGAATTGAACCCAGGTCATTTTTAGAGCAGCTAGTGCTCTTAACTGGTGAGCCATCTCTCCAGCCCCAATTTTAGCACATCTTTTACTTGTTCTTTGACAATTTCATACATTCATACAATGTATCTTGATCATATTCATCCCAACTCCTCCCTCCTGCTCTCTTGAGCTCACAGAGATCCATTTGCCTCTGCCTTCCCAGTACTGGGATTAAAGGCTTGTGCCATCCTGCCCAGCTTTTTTGTAACCCACTGAATCCAATTAGTGCTGCCTGTTGGAATGTTGATTGAGCTTGTTGGTTTGACCTTGTACAGCAGGTCACCCTGGCTACAGGGAGTTCATGAGTGCCACAGACATGTCATGTGCAGAAGACAGCATCTCACAGAGCTCCTCCCATCTTCTGGCTTTTAAATTCTTTCCACTTCCTCTTCCGTGATGTTCCCTGAGCTTTGGAGGGGTTTCGTTATTTTTTTATTGCATCATAATTTTTTTTGGGGGGGGCCTTTTTGAGACAGGGTCTCCCTGTAGCCCCAGCTGTCCTGGAACTCACAGAGATCCACCTTCCTCTGCCTCCTGAGTGCTGGGATTAAAGGTGTGCACCACCATGCCTGGCATGCATCATAATTTTTTACCACCAAAGAACCTTGACTTCATTGGTGTCTCTGACTTAAAATGACTGTCTACCCAACACTGGGTCACACCTCCAGGTTGGGGAGGAGCCATAAAGAGCTGCATACTAAGTGTGTCTTCCCCTCTACAGGCCTTCAGTGGGGCTGGTTCCACTTCTTGATGCAGAAATTCAAAAATTCTTGTAAGTTCAAGTTCTATTGGAGACACAGGATGCCAGCATCCCCTCAGGTACTCTGTCAGTTCCAGCTCTACCCTGTGACCCACAATCCCTTTCTTTCTGATCCCTCATAGCCACAATAGGGAGTTTGAAAATGTGGATATTACCAGGGAAAACTGTGGCCCAAAGAGGTTGAACAACTTGCCTGTGGTCCCTCAGAGGTTCCAAAGGCAAAAATAGAAGCCAGATTTCCTGGTTCCTGGCCTAATGGCTCTCTGTTCTCTGCTTACAGAGGAACCTGCTAGGTAGCTCTTCTTTGTCTCAGGAGAGCCATCACATTTCCATCCCCTCTCCAGCTATCTCCCACAAGGGACTGCGCTCTAAAAGGACCCAACCTTCAGCCCCACACCAAGAGTATCTCCTCAGAGCAGGTTTGCAAAGGCTTGGAGGTAGGCACACTGTGTGATAGGAAATGGTTTTAGCTGAGTAACCCTACCTGTGCTAAACAAGAGGCAAGGCCACTGAGACCTCCCCTCTTTTTAGGACCTGAGTTCTCCTTTAATTTGCTGCCTGAAGCACGGGCTATTCAGGTGACTGTTCCTCCAGGCTCAGAGGCTAGTGTGCGTCTTTGTTACCAGTGGGCATTGGAATGCGAAGAGATGAACAATCCCTTTGATGCCCAGGTATGATATGCCATACCCTGTGAAGAGATAGATCACACAGTACCTGAGCAAATGGGGGAGACCCTGAGGCCCAGATAGGGAAAGTCATTGTCCAAAACCATCTCATAAGGTGAGGTATGTAGCATTAAGACTTCTTTGGATTAGACAGAAAAAAAAATGGCGGGGGGGCTCGTGTTACTTGAGAGGAACAAGCAGACAGTCCTGAAGCAACCATGAATAACCAGCAAAGAAAGGAGTATAGTATTACTCCCAGTGAGAGGACCCTCAGTGTGGTTCAGGCATAGCTCAATTGGTAGAGTGCTTGTCTAGCATGCATGAAACTCTGGGTTTGATCCCCAGCATTACACAAACCAAGTGAGAGGTAGAAGCAGAGCAGTCAGAAGTTCAAAGTCTCATTGGCTACATAATGAGTCTGAGTTCAGCTTGGGTTACATGAGACTCTGTCTTAAAGGAAAAAAGCCTTTGTCTTTCCCTCCAAAAGTGATTCCCCTGATTATAACAAATGCTCACATATGCCTTTCTACTTTCCTTTTCCACCCTTTGCCTTGTCCCCGGAGAATGATATCCCCATCTCCTAGCCCAGGTCTTAGCAACCCACCTCCACTTCCACTCATCAAAGATGCCTTAGTATATAGTTGGGTATCATTTGCAGAGACTGATGTCATACCCTGGGGTCCTCAGCTCTCTCCCTGTCTGCAATGGTGATAACTCCTAATTTCACTGTGATGCTAGCATTTAATAGTCACCGCTTCTGTAACCCTGCCTGGCATCCCCTTTCCCCACCCTACTCCATGTAGAGTACCTCAAGCAGATGGTCAGAGTACAGAACAGAGAGCCTATGTGCCGGTGCCAGCTGGCCAAGATGAACAGCACCTGAAAGGGGGAGTGAGGATGAAAGAAAAACAAGAGACAGAGAAAGGATACTTGGGAGGACTGTCAGTAGACTGCAGCCCCGGTTTATTTTAGCTCCGCCTTCTTATACAGTAGAACATCAGAGCTAGCCACCGTTTGCTTAGCTCAATTAGCTTCAACAGCTGTTTTTTCCCACCTTTATCTGAGGGTCAAGGAACGGTCAAATACTTGTTGTGAATTCCACCATTTAACCATCTCCCCTAAATTATCAACACATTCCTCCTGACTTGGCAAAACAATTCGGTAATGGTGTGCAAAACACACAAACTCTTGAGTCAAGGTGAAAGATCATAAAGTAAACAAGCAAGCCTGCCACAGCTCAATGTACATAATGGCTGTGCTTATACTAATAGCTCCCAGCACCTATGAGAGGGAATTTTTCAGTGGAAGAAATAAGTCCTATATCATAGGAAAAAGCAGGGTACATTGGCCAAGGTCCCAGCTTCCTCCTGCCCTGCCCTTTTCCTTAGGTACCCCCTGCCTTTGCTGCTTTATCCACAGAAAATTGTGTCTGGGGGCCACACTGCAGACCTGCCTTATGAATTCCTTCTGCCCTGCCTGTGCATAGAGGTGAGCAGAAGAAAAGGCGTGGATTATCCATGACTCCTTGGCCAACCACATCTCTAATAATTCAGCTTAAAAAGGACTATGTAGCCGATCATGGTAACACATACCTTTAATCCCTGCAGAGGGAGAAGCAGACAAATCTCTGTGAGATCAAGGCCAGCCTGGTCTACATAGCAAGTTCCAGGCCAGGGAGACCCTGTCTCAAACAAAACCAAAAAAACAATGTAAAGACTATGTAAAGCTGAGCTGGGTAGGGTGGCGCACACCTTTAGTCCAAGCACTTGGGAGGCAGAGGCAGGCAGATCTCTGTGAGTTCAAAGCCAGCCTGGTCTACATAGTGAGTTTAGGCCAGCTGGGGCTACAGGGAGACCCTGTGAGAGAGAGAGAGAGAGAGAGAAAGACTATGTAAGGCTGGACAGGTAGCTTAGTGGTAGAGCAAACTCTATAGTGTTACAGAAGACCCCGAAGGAGTGGGTGGGTTACTAAGGTGCTTTGGAAACTAGTCCCAGTTTGGCTGTGAACCATACATGGTCAGAGGCGAAGGGTCTTAGGAAATACTACACTGTCCTAAGGTAATTTCACCTCAGCCCCACCCACAGCCTGTTCCTCTAGCCTAGATTTTGCTGCAGCCCAGAGACAGAATAGATAGCCACCATCACTGTGTGTTCTACAGAGCCAAGGTTGCATATGTCTTCCAAAGTCATGTCCCCTCCATTGTGGCTTTCCACCTCTCCTTGGAAATCGGAGAATAAAGGGGTCTTTAGACTATACAGAAAAGGCAAGAGGAATGAATACCAAAAGGAAAGTGCAGGTTGAGACCTGGGAAAATAAGTAGTTGTCATGGAGGACAACACGGGAGCTCTTGGGGAGTCCGGAATTACTGAGTAGCTTGAGAATGGCCCAGAGTGGAGGCCAGGGAAGGCTAAATAAAGTTGAGGGGTGTGGACCTCAGGATTTCCCTGTTGCTGGGGATAATTCTCTGTGGCCAAGAGGAATCATCTCCCCACTTGCTGCTCTCTCCTAAGCTCTGTAGCCCTCACCCTTGCCCACACCCCACATTCCTCCCCTTCATTAGTGTCCTGTCAGCTTAAGCAATTTGCATTACAGTAAGCTAGAGCCAGAATGATATAGGAAAAGCCATTCCCCTGACCCTCTATGTTCCCCTGACCCCCCAGGCATCCTACTTGCAAGAGGACACTGTGAGGCGCAAAAAATGTCCCTTCCAGAACTGGCCAGAAGCCTGTGAGTGTTGCTTGTATGAATACTGATGCACACATGCCCTCTGACCCTGCCTTCCTATCCTCCTCCCTTGCCCCCTCCATACCTATGATGGAAGAAGACCCCAGAAAACATGAGGATATTTTTTCTGGAGTTAGTGAAGAAAAGGGCCACAGTGTCTAACCACCAGCCTGCAGATGAGCCCTGGAGCACTGAGCATTGTGGGAATAGGAGAGGGGCACTCAGGGAATAGTATACTAAAGGACCAGCCCAGGCTACTGTCTCAGATCTGCCATGGATTATCTCCAGAGCCTCCTTTCTCTCTCCTGTACTGTAGGATTTACCCTGCCTCACTGCCAAAGTGTGTATGAGGCTTGAATTAAATATTTAATGGGAAAGTGGCAGGTGACATATGAGGCACCGTATGCACAGTGCTGTCCCTAATGAGAGGCAGGACACTCAGACACAAGTGAGTAGCATAAAACCTGCATACATACAGGGCTATAATTAAGGGTAGCTGCAGGGCATGAACTCAGGAAAGGAGAAGCCCATGGAAGCTGTCATTAACAGAGAGTGTCTCTCAGGAGCTGGTACCTGAGCTGAGCTCAGGAGATGGACAGGGTTAGAGAAGAAAGGCAGGAAAGGAAGGCAGGCATTCAGGATTCAAGTTCTGAGAGGAGCTTACATAGATTTTTGTTTGTTCGTTTTTTGGTGTTTTTGAGATAGCCTCTCCCTGTAGTTCCAGCTAGTCTGGAACTTACTATGTAGATCAGGCTGGCCTCGATCCTACAGAGATCTGCCTGCCTCTGCCTCCTGAGTGCTGGGGTTGTGTACATATGCAGATTTTGAGGTGCAGCAGAGGGCTGCCCAGAATGGAGGCCCAGGATGGAAAGTTAAAGAAAAGAAAGCTGAATAGAAAGAGAATAAGGGAGGCTGGGGAGGAGTTGGAGTACCTGTTAGGCCTGGGACTTTCAAATTTCCTCCTGGTACCCTGGGGCTAGAGGTGGCAAGATGAGGCTGGAGCCAGGCTGAAGTCTCACTCTTGGATCTGCTGCCTGCCCAGATGGCTCAGACTTCTGGAAGTCAGCACACTTCACTGACTACAGCCAGCACAGTCAGATGATCATGGCTCTCACACTCCGCTGCCCACTAAAGCTGGAGGCCTCCCTCTGCCAGAGGCGGGATCCATTGGGCTCCTGTGAAGACCTCCCCAATGCCACAGCTCAAGAATCAGAAGGAGTGAGGACAGCCTGCCCCAGGATGGAGGGGGGCAGGATTGAGGCCTAGGGACTATCTCCCTGACTAACTTTCCTCACCCCACAGTGGTATGTTTTGGAGAAGGTGGACTTGCACCCCCAGCTCTGCTTTAAGGTACAACCATGAGCAAGAAAGGCAGGGTGGAGGAAGGAAGGTAGGTCTGAAGCTTGCTGACTTGCCATTCCTATATTTCTCAGTTTTCTTTTGAAAACAACAGCCATGTTGAATGTCCCCACCAGAGTGGTGAGTCAAGTGATCTCAGCTGGAATCCCTTCTCCCACATTCACCTTCACCCAGCTGTGATCAAGTAAACCCTGACCTGCATGCTCAGCACAACCCAGCTCCAATTACCTCCCACAAATAGAGTCTTTCATATCCTGGAATGTGAGCATGGAAACTGAGGCTGAGCAGCTGATCCTTCACTTTTCTTCGAGGATGTACGCTACCTTCAGTGCTGCCTGGAGCCACCCAGACTTGGGGCCAGACACCTTGATGCCTCCTGTGTACAGTGTCAGCCAGGTATGGCCTAGCCAGGGTTTGGTCCCTACTGTTCTCTTGGCCAATACATAGTTCCCAGTCTCCCTGTCAACGTCAGTGAGGCAAATTCTAGGTGGGTGGAGGCAAGAAAACCCTGATCCCATCATCTGGCTAGTTTATTTACTTGATCAGCCTTGGATGAACATATGAAAAAAAAATTATATATATATTCATGTGTGTGTATGGTCTATGAATATGTATGTACCTGTCGGGGGAGTGCACATTTTTGGGTGTGCATGCAGTGGCCAGAGGAGGACTTTCAGGTGTTTTCCTCTATCACTTTCTACCTTTTCCCCTTGAGACAGAGTCCCTTACTGAACCTAGAGCTTACTGTTTTTGGATAGGTTGGCTGGCCAATGAGATCTTGGGATCCACCTGTCTCTGCCTCCCAATGCTGGGGTTACAGGCATGTGCAGTCATGGTTGGCTGGGGATTTGAACTCAGGTCCTCATGCTTGCATAGCAAGTGCCTTACTGAGCCTCCACAAGGCACCAGTCTACTAACTTTCAAGAGGCAAGGCCTATAGAGGCCGAAGTACTCGATGTACAGTACTACACTGGTTTAACTCTATCATGTGGACTGAGAACAGTTGACTAACAGACTTTTTCTGTGTCTCTGATTTAAAAACCACAATCAGATACACCCATAAAGCTACAGCACCAAGCTGACTAAGCTGACTAGTTTTCTCTTAATTGCTCACTTGCAGCTCATTTATTTGCTTTGCATCCTATGTATAGGGGCTCCCAAACATACAGGTGGCAGTGGACACTTAAGACTTGATTCTTAATAGCTGGCTAAAGAGTATGGTCTGAGGCAGATGAGAGGGTTAGGGTAAAGGGTAGATGGTGCTACTGGGAGATAGAGACTAGTCACCTCATAACTAACACCCAGAACACACAGTGAAATCACATCCCATCTGTAGACATATCTCAACCAGTGCTATTCAATTTAGTACACATTTTTCTTTTCTTTTTTTTTTTTTTGAGTGCATACTCTGTGCCACCCTGTATTATACCCTGGTAGATATAAAGAAAGCATATAGCAGTCTCTGCCCTTCATTTCTTAGTCTAATAATAGCTACTTCTGTTAAAAATATTTTATTCTTATTTTATGTGTATTCATGTATTGCCTGCATGTAAGTGCATCTGTGTTGTGCAAAGCCCATAGAAGTCAGAAGAGGGCATTAGATTCCCCTGGAACTGGAGTTATAGACAGTTGATAGCTGCCATGTGGGTGCTGGGAATCAAATCTGGGAATCAAATCAAATGCTCTTTACCACCGAGCCATCTCTCCAGTCCCAATAATACCTACTTCTAACAAATAAATGTACACTGAAGTTTATTAAAAGGCATATGCATGGGGCTGGAGAGGTGGATCAGCAGTTAAGAGCACTGACTACACTTGTAGAGGACCCGGGTTCGATTCCCAGCACCCACATGGCAGCTACAAACTGTCCTTAACTCCAGTTCCAGGGGAGTCTGACTCCCTCCTCTGACTGCCGAGGCATTGCACAACATGGGTGCACTCACATACATGCAGGCAATACACTCATACATATAAAAATAATAAGTAAAATATATATATTTTTTAAAAGGCATATGCGTATTCCCATTTGATGCTCCCAGTAACCCACTAAAAGATTATTGCCCCCCATATGCAAATGAGGAAACTGAGGCTAGCTGCCACAGTGGCACACACCTTTAATACTAGCACTTGGGATTCAGAAGCAGGTGCATCTCTGTGAGTTCAAGGCCATCCTGATCTACATAGCAAGTTCCAGGCCAGATGAGGTTACAAGGAGACCCTGTCTCTAAATAAATAAGTAAATAAATGAATGAATGGATGAATGAATGAATGAATAAATAAATAAATAAATAAAAAGGAGAAAAGAAGGAAGAAAGAAAGAAGGAAAGAGTGAAAAACAGAGGCTCAGGGAGGGAGGAGAGTTCACCTATCTCAGGCAAAAAACACACAGCTGGGAATGACAAAGCAGCAGTAAAACCTGAATCCAGGCCTCCTGCCTCCACAGCTCACACTTCCCAGCAGTCAAGCTGTCTCCTAAGTTGTGTAGGGAGTGAAGGGAGGCACATGTGATTAGCTGCTAGAGGACAGAGACAATGGCTGTGCCCACCTTCTTTCAGGGTTTGGTTCTCAGATTGTCTATTTGTGTCATATGTTGGCTTGGCTGTAGCAGGTGAGAGCTAAGAAAGACTGGTAGGGGTTGGAGTGGCTAGGAAGTCTTGCTTGAGGTGATAGTTGGCCTTAATGCCTAGGTAGGATGGAGGAGGGTGAGACACAATCAGATTTGCCTATATGGAGACTGTCATTCTGCTTTTGTGCCTACAGACTCAGGGCTTAGTCCCAGTGACACTAGACCTCATCATCCCTTTCCCGAGGCCAGGAGGCTGTATCCTGGTAAGGTATCCTATCCTTATTTGTCATAGACCCCAGAACAGTCTGCAAAAACATTTGGCTTAGCCAGCACAGTGTTTTAAATTGGAATTAGTTGTCATAATTTTTATGTTATTAAAGAACTAATATTTCATCTTCCCCTGTAAAATGAATGAACCTAGTGTTCTCTGTCCATAGTGAGGCGTGGTGACAGGCTCAGCACTCAGTTGTGGCCCAGCCAGCCTGTGCCCTCTAGGCCCTTACTGCAGCCCTGGCTAACTTTACAAGCTTACTTTTTGAGTTTGGCCAGTTCTCACTGGCATTTGCCCACCTCAACCTGTTTTGTGTCAGGCCAGGGATTGTACCAGACACAAAACTGGAGCTGGAGGAATTCCCAAGCCAGGGGGATTTCTTTCTCCACTCCTGGGCCTCATTCACTCCTTGGGAGGAGGGGATGCCCTGGCTCACATGGGCAGGGACTCTTGTCCTCAGGTGTGGAGGTCAGACGTCCAGTTTGCCTGGAAGCACCTCTTGTGTCCTGATGGTGAGTTCTTGGTCAAGGGAGAAGAGGGAGCTTGGGCACTGAGGAGGTGGGCTTGACCTTATCCTGTTTGATTCAGTCTCCCATAGACACCTGGGGCTCCTGACCCTGGCACTGCTGTGCCTCACCACTCTACTGGGTGTTGTTCTGGTTCTCACCTGCCGGCGCCTACTGTCAGGTAAGTTCACCTGGGGAGGCAGGGGATTCACACCTTCCCAGCACTTAGGCTAGTGGTCCCCTCCTCTCTTGCCTGAGCCTGAGGCCACGGCAGTCAGATTGCTATCCTCAGGACCCCTAGTATCAGGAGTGGTTCAGGCAGGGCAAAGGGCTACAGGTGCAGCTTGTCAGTACCACCATGCCATTAATTGCTGGCAAGAGGCCTGTCAGGGGCTGGGAATCTAGACTGCAACGCACTAGAAACCGTGCATCTTTCTCATTAGCCTATAAGCACCAAATAGGTTCGGCCGTTTGGGTCAGCAAATAAGGGACATAGGTGCAGCGCCGTAGTATAGGCCTGACGCCCAGGAAAGGACGGTTGGGCTATTTAGGACCTTGCCCCATTCAGGAGTTGCTCTTGTCTCCAGGTCCCGGCCGAGTGCGGCCGGTTTTACTTCTGCACACAGCGGACTCAGAGGCGCAGCGGCGCCTGGTGGGAGCCTTGGCGGAACTGCTGCGGACGGCGCTGGGCGGCAGGCGGGACGTGATCGTGGACCTGTGGGAGGGGACTCATGTGGCACGCGTGGGACCACTGCCGTGGCTCTGGGCCGCGCGAGAGCGCGTGGCGCGGGAACGGGGCACCATGCTGCTGCTGTGGAGCAGCGCGGACCGCAGCGCCTCGCGTGGCCACGACCCCCACGTAGCGCCCCTGCGCGCCCTGCTCTGCGCTGGCCCACGCCCGCTGCTATTGCTGGTCTACTTCGGCCGCCTCTGCGCCAAAGGCGACATCCCCCGGCCGCTGCGCGCCCTGCCACGCTACCGTCTGCTTCGTGACCTGCCGCGCTTGCTACGGGCCCTGGGTGCCACCAGCTGGAGCTGCCTTGGGGCTAAGCAGTCCTTGCAAGATCGTCTGGAGTTGTGTCACCAGCTTGAGCTGGAGGCAGCCAAACTTGTCTATCCCTGCTCCGCGGATCCTCACTGCGGTTCTGATGCTCTGCAGGATTAATGGCTGGGACCCCAGAATAGGCCTCTAACTTGGACTCTTTGGAAGAGAGCTTCCTGGACAAAAAACCCTGTAAGGCCCTGCCCAGGCCCCACACGTGCCCCTCACACTTGCTCCCTCTCAGAATCCCTAGGGGAGAGTGGGGCTTTCCTATTAGCTCCTCAACCCGTTCTGAGCCTTTCAGTTCTCTTCAGGACGCCTGGAAGATAGCTTCTATGCAGATGATCTGGTCCTGGCTCAAGAGCTGAGCCAGGATTGGGAAGCAGGATCTGTCAAGGGTTCTGCTCAAGGTAGTGTGGAGAAAAACCATCTTGGGAGCCGAGAGAGGAGGGGGGGGAGGAAGAGAGGAGAGAGAGAAAGAGAGAGAGAGAGAGAGAGAGAGAGAGAGAGAGAGAGAGAGAGAGAGAGAGAGAGAGAGGAGGGAGAGAGGAAACTTTTTGATCAAGGAAAAGATTCAGCCCTAAGTGGCCAGGACAGAGGTAAGGCAGGAAACCAAGCTCCAGAAAGATAAATAAAAGTGAATGTGGTGAATTAAGGAACACAGTGTGCTGTTCTTGTGTGCCCCACCAGCCTCTGAGTCAGGGAGCCTGCTTGGGACTTGTTCAAGGACAGCTTAGGAGCCCAGGTCCTCCTCATGCACACCAGTATTCCCTGCCCTCACATTCTCACAAGCATTGTCTGTGAAAGCCCAGGAGGATCCAACATCTGGATCTTCATCCTTTCTGTGATCCTTCCAAGAGCAAAGGAAAGACTTGGCAGCATGCCCACCTTCACTCTGCCAGCCATAGACACAGCAGGGCACCTCTGTCTGCTGGGCTCTGGGGCTCTCCCAACCAGTCACATATCCCTCTATCACCCTTGAACATAGGCCAGGCAGTGGTGAAAAGGCCACTTTCTGACAGAGGTCACTGTTATTGAGGTCCAGGGAGGTATGTGAAGAACCAGAGGTATCCAGTGAGAGGGGACCCAGCGGGCTCCAGGATTATAGGGCCTGTGTGCAAAGGTCAACGCCCTAGATTGCTAAGGCCCACACCCTGGTTTGCTCAGGAGTTTTCTTCTTTAGGGACATTGAGGGTAAGAGTTCTCTTACTCAGCCCTGACTCCAGCTGTGCCGACTTCCTGGCTCCTCCCAGCCAGGTGTCAGTCTAGGAGGAGGAGTACTGGAGGCCACCACTCCAGTCCAAAGCTGCTGGCTCCAAAGCCTGGAGTTGGTGGGAGGGACAGGGCGGGGCAGGAACAGCCACTGCCTGCTGGGAGCCAAACCGAAAGCACTCCTGCTGAAACTGGACCCAGAGTCAGGGCTTGCTAGAGTGGGAAATCACAGCTGGAGAGGGATTCTAACATCTACTGTGGCCCAGGGATTCGGGGCTGAGTAGTATAAGGGTAAGGTGGCTGCCCCCCCTAAGGGGGGGGGCAGGTCGGGGTCTCAGGCCTGGGTGCTGTCTGGCACCTAGAAGATGCCCGTGCCCTGGTTCCTGCTGTCCTTGGCACTGGGCCGAAGCCCTGTGGTCGTTTCTCTGGAGAGGCTTGTGGAGCCTCAGGACACTGCACGCTGCTCTCTAGTGAGTCTGGGGCCCTGGGAGGTTGGGGAAGCTCAGAGTTCAGTCTGTGGCTCATCAAAGCCCTGATCTAGCTCCTGTCACTGCCTCCATCTGAACTGCCCTGTCTGGTCTGTCTGGTGCTGATGGGGGAAGAGAAGATGGAAGGGGACCAGAACTGGTTTTGTCTTCTGGGAGGAGCTTAGGATAGGGAGCCTCAGCAGGAGGTAGGCAGGGGTCAGGGGATGCCCAACAGGGGAAGGTTCTTAGAGTTGGGGACATAAACTCTGACTTTTCCCTCTTTCCCAGGGCCTCTCCTGCCACCTCTGGGGTAAGTATTGCTATTTTTAGAGGGAGAACTGCCCAGGTGGCATGGAGGGAGAATTGTCCTAGTCCCCATGGCCACCCTGCCCACCCTTAGCTCTGGAAAGACCAAGCTCCTTGGCCCTCTGAAGGGGTCAGGTGCAATGAAAACAGGCTCTGAACAGTTTCAGCTCCCACCTCACCCTTCACACTCAGATGGTGATGTGCTCTGCCTGCCTGGAAGTATCGAGTCTGCTCCAGGTCCTGTACTAGTGCCTACAAGCTTGCAGACAGAGCTGGTGCTGAGGTGTCGACAGGAGACAGACTGTGCCCTCTGTGTACGGGTAGTTGTACACTTGGCTGTGCATGGTGAGTAAATCGTCCTGTGATTACATGTGCACACAAGAGAGTGCCTGGGGAGGATATGACGACTGCAGACTCTATCAGGCAGTGTGGTCCTCCTCAGTGTTTAGAGCACTGACCCTGGCACCCCCATACAAGCCTGCTCTCCTCAGGCCTCCATTTCCCAGCAAATGGGCTTTCTAGAAAGGAATCTAAGCCTGAAGCCAGGCCAGAGCTGGGGCCTGGCTTGAGCCCTGCTCTCTCTTCCTTGCAGGGCACTGGGAAGAGCCTGAAGATGATGGAAAGTCTGGCCCAGAGTTTGGGGAGCATAGGAATGGTAAGGAGAGCCAGCCGGCCCAACTGCTGCTTCTTGTCAGGGTTTTACCCAAGTCCCTGGCCTGACTGCCCTCTCTCTGTTGGCCACAGCCTCTCTCCAGGCCCAAGTCGTGCTCTCCTTCCAGGCCTACCCCACTGCTCGCTGCGCCCTGCTTGAAGTACAAGTGCCTGCTGTTCTGGTGCAGCCTGGTCAGTCTGTGGTATGTGGTGTCATCCTCCTGACAAGAGTAGCCACCTAAATATGAGATCTCCAAAACAGTCTCATGTGCATTGTTTCTTTAAATTTTGGTGCTGATCAGAGCAGTGGTTGAGACCTCTCTGGCCTGTGTGCTTGACTCTTCTGTCTGTAGAGTGAGGGTAAGAAAAAAGTCTTACCTCATATGTTGGACTTGGTGAGAAATCACTATTCAGTAATCCAGGATGATTTATTATTTGACACTCCCATCAGCAATGTCTAGAACTTCCAGTTGCTTCCCATCTTTGCTAACACTTTGTACTATAATTTTAAATTTTAGCCATTCTGCTATGTATGTAGTGGCATATAACTTTTTTGGTAGTGGTTGTGGTAGTGTTTTTTAAAATTACATTTATTATTTACTTATTGTATATGTGTATGTGTGTGAGTATGTGGAGGTCAGAGAACAACTTGTGGGAGTCAGTTCTTGCCTTCTACCACCTGGGCCCTGAGGATCCAACTCAGGCTGTCAAGCTTGGTGGCAAGTGTCTTGCCCACTGAGCCATCTTGCCATCCCAGTGGCACTATTTTTTGTTGTTGTTTTGTGTGTGTTTTGCTAGGAATCAAACCAAAGTCTTTGTGTTTGTTAGCACTCTACCACTGAGCTACATCCCCAGTCCTAGTTTTTCTGAGACAGTCTTGAAATGTAGTACAGACTAGGAAGGAACTTGAAACCCTCCGCCTCAGCCTACTGAGTGCTGGGACTAGAGGCACATGCCTCTGTGTCTGGTGTTCATTGCAGCTTTAATTTGTACATCCCTGATGACTGAGGAAGTCAAAGTATGACTGATGCATACTTTTTCATATGCATATTGGCTATTTGTAAACTCCCTTCATGAAATGTCCTTTTGACCACTTTGAAAAAATAATAGGGGCTGGAGAGATGGCTCAGCAGTTAAGAGCACTGGCTGCTCTTGCAGAGGACCTGGGTTTGAATCCCAGTACCCACATGACATCTAACAACTATCTTTGTCTATAACTCTAGTTCCAGGAGATCCGGCATCCTCTTCTGACCTCTGAGGGCATTGCACAACACAGGTGCACTTAGGTACATGCATGCAATACATTTATACACATAAAATAAAAATATTAAATATTTCTAAAAATTAAGAATAAAGGACTTGGAATGTAGCTCAGTGGTACAGCTCTTGCCTAGCATGCTGAAGGCCCTGGGTTTAATTTATTTATTTATTTTTTATTTCTAAGACATACACACACACACAACAACAACAACAACAACAACAACAAATAGTTCTACTTCCTTTAACTGTTGTGAGAATTAAACAAGTTGTGCAGCACTTGATATAATGCCCAGCAATAAAAGGTCTTATTAAATTTTTCCTTTCTTTTGTAATCTTGAAAACTATTCCCATAAACTAGGCCTTATTGGACTAAGAGAAGAATCATGCCAGACCATGGTGTGTGTACCTGGACAGGGTATGGGGGCTTTTCCTAGGCCACACATGGCTGGAGGTCTAACTCACTAAGGAAGAATTACTCAAACCCCTCCAGCCCCTAGTCCCCAGGTGAAAACTGTAGACTGGGAAAACTGCTTGGGGGACCAGCTAGATGTCTCAGTGGGTAAAAGCACTTGCCACCAAGACTAATGATCTGCTTTCAATTCTTAGGACACACATCGTAGAAGGAGAGAACAGACTCCTGCAAGTTGTTCTCTGACTTCCACATGCCTGCCATGGTACATGCGAACACATACACACACACACACACACACACACACACGTAATATTTTTAAAACTACTTAGTTCACTTCACAAGTTAGTCATGAAGTGTGTGTGGTGCTACATGCTAGTAGTGCTTGGGTATTTAATCAACTTACTTTTGGCTAGGTGCTCCAGGTCAGCAGAAGTGGGTCAGGGACTCAGATAGCCAACTCTGACTTAGGACACACATGGTTGTTGGTTGTCCAGCCAACACAGCTACTAAAGATAATTTGCTTTAGAACTGGGGACTTGTTTTAAAAGAGGTAACTTTAATGGTAGATTTCAGGCTAGACAGTATAAATACAGTTATTGGTTGGGAATAGGACAGTGGGTGAGCAGAGTGGTCCATTCAGATGAACCCAAGCTCTCAGCTTGAATTCTGAGCCCTCCATCTCCAGCCCTCCACCACCCTCTCCTCATAGGGCTCTGCAGTATTTGACTGCTTCGAGGCTGGCCTGGGGGCTGAGGTGCGAATCTGGTCCTACACACAGCCCAGGTACCAGAAGGAACTCAACCTTACACAACAGCTGCCTGGTAAGTGGCCCCAAAGCCATTGGGACCCCATGCCGTGGCCTCTCTAGTCTCTGTCCCCTCTTCCTAGTTCCATCACTTCCTAGTTCCATCACAGGGCTCTGGGCTGGCACCCTCCTTAGTCAGTCCATTGTGCTTCTAGCCCCTGGGGTAAGTGCCTTGTGCATCATGTAGATATGGGTGGTTTTTAGGGGGCAGGAAGCCCTTCCCAGTGCCTCCCTATGGGTTGGATTGCCTTTCTTCTTTCCTTGGTCCCTAGTCCCACTGGAGGCTTCTCTGTGATCTCTCCCCAGACTGCAGGGCTCTCGAAGTCCAGGACAGCATCCAGAGCTGCTGGGGTAGGGGCTAGGGACAGTGGGCTGGGTGGAGGGAGGGCCAGGGTCTCGAGGTCACACAAAGGACACTTGGAGTTGGCTTCAGCTCTGGGATGCCACATTCCAGAAGCTCACTGAACACATCCATCCATCCATCCATTCATCCATCCATTTATCCAACATGATCTTCAGTAATTATTAAAACTGTGCCAGGCATTGGGAATACAAAGGTGAATCTCTTATAACAATATTTCTTAATACTGGGGCTATCTAGTGGCCCAAAGCACTGTCAGGATTATGGTTCCCTATGTCATATTTCAAAATGGAAATTATATTACTGAAATATGAGTCAAGAAAGTCAAGATTCTGATTTGGCTTTTGTATTTTCTTTTTTATTTATTCAATATGTATAACATATACAGAAAAGTTTGTAAGTACACTGGTTTTAATGTGCAGGTTAATTAAGTGGGATTATTTTTTTGAGACAGGGTCTTGCTGTGTTGTCTAGGCTGGACTCAAACTTTCAATACTCCTGCCTCAGCCTCCCAAGTAACTGGGATTAAAGGTCTGCATCATCACACTTGGCTCAGTTCAATTAGTGTTTATATATGTATACAGTTTACAACTAGCACCAAGATTAAGATAGAAATGTTGTAGTTTTTAACTAATGAATTTGGAGGGGGGGGCTGGAGAGATGGCTCAGTGGTTAAGAGCACTGACTGCTCTTGCAATCCCCAGCACCCACATGGCAGCTAACAGCCATCCATAACTCCAGTTCCAGGGGATCTAACACCTTTTTCTTACCTCTGTGGGCATTGCACGACACAAGTGAACTTATACACAAGCAGGCAATACACTCATAAAATAAATAATAAAAATAAACTATTTTTAAAATATTATTTTTATTTTACATGTGTGAGTATATTGCCTGCATGTATGTGCAATGCCACGGAGGTCAGAATAAAAATAAAAGAATTAATTAATGGATTATTTCAACTTCATCATCATCTTTTTTTTTTAAACTTCATTATCTTTTTGGTTCCTTGAACTTAAACTTGGCCTTCCTCTTTGGCAATCCATCAAGACCATTATGCACCAGAACTTTGAAAACAGATCATGTATTTTATTTCTTCATTCAGTGGCAGTTGCTTTCCTTATTCAACAAATATTGACTGAGTAATGACTCTGTACCACACATAGGTACAGACACTGGACATAAATTCATAAGCAAACCTGATAAAACTTCTGTCCTTATGGAGCTGGGAGTTGGGGTTGGAGTGGGGTTAAGGGAGGACATAACAAAACCATGGAGATATGAAGCACACAGTAAGTTAGATGATGACTAGAGCTATGAAGAAAATTCAAGAAAGAGGGAAGAGAAAGTTGGGAATTTCAGTAATCAAGTGGCATCACTGGAGTGAAGCATGTAAAGGAGGAGCTCTGTTTTTGAAAGACAGGGTTCTATAGGGCAAAAAGAGCAAGTGCAAAGGGCCTGAGGCAGGAGTATGGTCTAGAATGATTAAGGAATATGAAGGAGTTCAGTGTCTGCTGCAGAGTAGTCAAGGCACAGGTACTAGGTTGCAGCAACTAGACTGGTTGAAGCCTTTCAAGATATTCTAAGGATTCTAGCTTTTACTGGGATTACAATGTGGGGCATCAGAGAATTCCGGGGAGAGTGATTTACTTTAAGGAGGTAGCAGGATCATTCTGGCTGCAGGGGAAGAAGAGCTGACACAAGATCACATCCTGGAGCACTATGTGCATGGCCCTGGGCCAGTGGCTAGGGTCTGAGATGAGGGCATATTCTCTGTCCTCCAAGAGCCTCCTAGTTAAAGGGTTTGACAGAGTCTCCAAAGGGACAGCTGGTGAGCATGGCCCAGCCTTGGCTGTGTAGTAGGGTGAAAGGAATCTGAACTGCTCTCTATCTCTGATTCCCCTACCAGCTTTGCCCTGGCTGAATGTGTCTGCAGATGGTGACAATGTGCGTCTGGTGCTGGATGTCTCTGAGGAGCAGCACTTTGGCTTCTTACTGTACTGGGATCAGGTCCAGGGTCCCCCCAAACCCTGGCGGCACAGAAACCTGGTAAGGTTTCTCCCCACAGGTCCACTTCCACTCTGCACTGATGCCCAGACTAAGGATGTGTGCAAACTGTCAAAAGAGACCCCTGAAAAGGACACACCCAAAACAAAGGACCTTGGTGGGGACTTCAGCCTTTCTTACCTCTTCCTTATTTTCTCTAACTTCCTTCTATCTGCTTGTCCCACAGACTGGGCCACAGAGCATTACCTTGAACCACACAGATCTGGTTCCCTGCCTCTGTATTCAGGTAGGAGCAGAGTCCAGCTGCACATGTGAGCAGGGGACTGGGGAGTTGGAGAGGGGTGGCCTCTAATTTCCTGGGCTTATTGTCCTCCATACTCTTCTCTAAGGGAGAGACCAAGGCTACCTTGGGTGGCTGGTTCTCCCTTTACCTGTGCTGACCTATGCCTTCTGCCTGTTTTGTGCCCAGGATGTTCCTCCCAGTCCTCTATCCAAGGACTGCTCCTGATGTCTCATGGCCCACTTAGATGTCACCTCCTCCTTGAAACCTTTTCTCTACTCTTCTAATCCCCTCTTTGTGCTTCTGTGAAGAGAATATGTGCTATGCACTTAAATGGGTTTGAATCCTGCTTGCCATTTGCTAGCTGTGTGACTGCGGGCAAGTCACTACACTACATCTGGGAGCCTGCTTCCTATTTGAAGTGAGAACAAACAGTATCCCCACCATAGGACTACAGTAAACAAGGGCGCCACACCCAGGCTTGAATGTGCTGGCTATTTCCTCTCCTTCCTCTGATTGCACATTGAATAAGCCATCGGGTCCCATTTCATTTGACTTCTGACAGAGTCTCTCATTCTTTTTCTTCTTCCTCTCCATCTCAGTTCAGTTTGGGCCTTCAGAGTCTCTCCCCTAGACTGTTAATAATATCTAGCCCCACCTCCCTTTCCATCGCCTCTCTGACATTCCAGGTCCCATAGTTTGCCCTCAACTGAAACTTTCCCAATAGATTTTACCCCAAATTTCCTTTTATATCAGTGGAGCTACTGACCAAGATCCCCCCCTCCCCCCCACCACCTACTGGACTCACAATCTCTTCCATAGAACCAAATCCTCCTAGCTCTTGTCCTCGGCAACTTGGCCTCTCCCAATTCCAAATCCCCCTTGTCTTTCTTCTGCCCTGTCTTGTCCTTGTCTTTAACATTGAGCATCTGACTAATTTCCTCCTGTATATATCAGATGCTCAGTAAATATTTGGAAGCGAGTGATTTAATAACATTTACGTATTTTATCCTTACTACAACTGTTAGTGATTTCCTTGAAGGCAATCAAATCATATCTAATTAAAATATAATAATTTTGCCAGAGCCTTTCACAGGGTGCCAGCTGTTGGATGCATGGATAGATGGGTGGATGGATGGAAGGATGGATGGATGAACAAATTTCCATTACCACAGTAGGCACACAGCAGATACACACAGAAATGTCTGGTGTGATTTAACTGCCCACATTACTATGCATAATGCCTACTACTCAGTAAGTGCTACTCAGTAAGTGCTCTCAATTTAACAACAACAACAAAAAAAACTTTTAAAAAACTTTTTAACAGCTGGGTGTGGGTGGCACATGCCTGTAGTCCTAGCACTTGAGAGGCAGAGGCAGGCGATCTCTGTGAGGTCGAGGCCAGCCTGGTCTATATGGTGAGTTCTGGCCAGCTGGGGCTACAGGAAAGCCCTGTTTCAAAAAGACCAAAAGATCCCCAAACAGAACAAAACACTTTTTAATATTTCATACACTCATACACATAAAAATAATAAAGTTTTAAAAATTTATTTCAATTTTATGTGTATAACTGTTTTGCCTGTATGTATGTGAGTGCAGCCACATTGTACAATGCCTGTGGAGGCCAGAAAAGGGTGTTGGATCTCCTGGAACTGGAGTTTGGAACAGTTTTAGCTGCCATGTGGGTGCTGGGAACAGAACCTGGGTCCTCTGCAAGAGTAGTCAGTGCTCTTAACCAATGAGCCATCTCTCCAGTCCTCAGAATACATTTTGACACCTCTAAAACTCTGAAAAGAGTGAGAAGGCCTGGTGAGTACTTGTAAATATGGCTCAGTGAGTGTATCCTAGTGCCAGCAGAGGCTTGGTACATGCTCATGGATGAGGAGCTGAGCTGAATGAACTTATTGGAGCTCTTTTTTCTTTCCAGGTATGGCCCTTGGAGCCTGACTCTGTCAGGACCAGCTTCTGCCCCTTCCGGGAAGGTGAGCAAATCTCCCAAGGTTGGGGGCAGCATAGGAGGGCAGGTACTATGTTCAGTAACCCTGACCCTCTACCACAGATCCCCGAGCACACTGGAACCTGTGGCACATAGCCAGGCTGCAGCTGCTATCCCCAGGGAGATGGCAGCTGGATGCACCATGCCCTCTGCTAGCTGAGGTGGTACTGTGCTGGCAGGCACCAGATCAGAGTCCCTGCCGGCCACTGGTACCACCCATGCCCCGGGAAGAAGTTATTGTAAATGTAAGTGAGGTAGAAGGCAGGCCTAGCATGGAGGGAAAGGAACTCCAGGGTTCTTCATGACCTCACTCATTCTCTACTTTCCACAGAAGCCCCATGAGTTCCCGTTGGTGAACGGCCACCCTAACCTCTGTATCCAGGTCAGAATGGTGATCCAGAGCACTGGGCTGAGGGTGAGACCATGTACAGAATCCCCTCCTCAAGTCACATCCTCAACACCCACTTTGTTCTTGGGCCCCTAAGCCATAGTGGTTACCAACCTCATTAGAAATTCCATTGTTTACTTTAAGCAGTGCATACAACCCTAGACAAACTATTTCACTTCTCTGAACATTATTCTCTTCTAATAACAGCAAGTACTGCATAGAGTAGTTGTGAAGAAGTAAGCCTTTTTTTAAAAGTTATTATTTACTGGGGCTGGAGAGATGGCTCAGCGGTTAAGAACACTGGCTGTTCTTGCAGAAGACCTAGGTTTGAATCCCAGCCCCCACATGGCAGCTAACAACTGTCCATAACTCCAGTCCCATGGGATCTGACAGCCTCTTCTGACCTCTGTAGGCATGGCACGACATGGGTGCACTTACCTACATGCAGGCAATACACACATACATGTAAAATAAAATAAATTTTTAAAAAAAAGTTAAAACAATTATTTACCTTAGGAACTGACATAGACTAAATGCCAAATGTTACTTTTATTATTGCTATCATTATCCTATTTTCCCACCTATAGAATGGGTTGCCCTACAATTTAAAGGGTGACTATAAAGACATTCATTGAAGCCGAGGATAGTGACACACACCTTTAGTCCCAGCACTTGGGAGGCAGAGGCAGCCAGATCTCTGTGAGATTGAGGTCAGACTGGCCCACATAACAAGTTCCAGGCCAGCTGGGGCTACAGGAAACCTCAAAAAAACAAAACAAAATAACAAAAATGGGCATCGTGACACATCTTTAATTCTAGCACTTGGGAGGCAGAGTCTGGTGGATCTCTGTGAGATTGAGGCCAGCCTGGTCTACATAGCACGTTCCAGGCCATCTGGGCCTCTAGTTAGACCATGTCTTAAAAAGAACCCCACAAAACAAAACAAAAACAAAAAAAGACTAATTATCTACTATGTGCCAGCCACTGCGAGATAGATGTCAGTGAACAAAACTGATAAATGTCCCCATCTCCACAGAACCTATTTCTAATGAATAAAGGCAAACAATATACTATAGTAAATAAATTAAGCAGTATGTTAAAATTTAATACAAATGCTCCGTAGAAAGTGAAGGAATGAGGGAAGACTGAGGTGGTAATTTTCACTGATGGTTAAGTGAGAAGGAATCTCCTCTTTGAGGTGGTAGGATGAGAAGGGAATGCTGTGATTGGTCAAGATACAGAACTTTAAGGTTATAAGGTGTATTAGCATAGGTGTCCTCATAAAGCTGGGTCTGAGAAAGATGGGGTGACTGATAATCCTGCAGCCTGAACCCAGATGTGCCTAGCCTCAGGTCCAGTGCAGAGCTTGCCCTCCTCTCACATCCTCCCAGAAAGCCTGTCTGGCCCTGGCTCTTTCCTTTCCTAGTACTCCTAACTCTGGCCCCTTGTAAGCAGGTGAACAGCTTGGAGAAGGTACAGATGCAAGAATGCTTGTGGGCCGGTAAGTAAGGCTCGATGGCAGCTGGAACAGATGCCACTGTAATGGGGTGAACCATAGAGGTGCTGGCTCCCAGGTGTGAAGGTCAGGACCTGGGAGGAAGGCAAAGAGGTAAGTCCTAACGAGAATGGGTCTTGCTTAGAGTGGCCTCTCGTTTCTCCCAGACTCCTTGGGACCCTTCAAGGATGATATCCTGTTGGTCGAGATGAGAAGCTCTCTGAACAACACATCACTCTGTGCATTGGAACCCAGTGGCTGTACACCACTGCCCAGCAATGCCTCTACGGTGAGGACAAAGGGACCTTCCTCACAGAACTTTCCAGCTCTGTCTCAAACATGGTGTGCGTGCCATATCTTGGGTTCTGATTAGTGGCCGTTCAAGTCTCCCAGTTCTCCTCTCCCCAAGCAGTTTTGCTCAACTGAAGCCCCTCAGGTGCTGCCCTCAGGTGACAACCCCCTTTCCTTGACTTGGCAGAGAGCTGCTCACTTTGGAGAACAGCTGCTGCAAGATTTCCAGTCGCACCAGTGTCTCCAGGTGAGTAGGTGGTAGGAGAGCTTGCCCCAGTCCCTAAAGGTAGCATGTCTAAAAGAAGCTCTCACCTAGTTTGGCTTATTTTGTGTTTAGCCCTAGAGAGGTTAGAGGTACAAGCATAGGTCCTGTCCCTCAGATGCTCACTGCTGGCCAGAGACCAGTTAAACCCATAAGCATTCCCGTTAAGTATTAGGTTCTAGAACTTCGAGGAAGGAGCTCTTCCTGTGGGCCCCACATGGCATGATGTCAGCCTAGGCAGCCAGGCACAGCTTAAGCAAAAGCAGAGCAGCTTGCCAGGAGCCTGCTCTGCACAGAGAAGTATGCACAGAAAGTGGAGGTTGGGAATTTGATAAAGCTGGCCAGAACTGGTTGAGTTGAACACCAAGCTGAGGACTCTGGACCTGTTTTTTTTGTGTTTTACAGTTGTGGAATGATAATCTGGGAGCACTATGGGCCTGCCCCATGGGCAAGTGTGAGTACACAGGAACTGCCCTTCCTCTGTGTACAGGGAACTGGACTCTGATGGGGACTATAGTGCCAAGGCAGCACATACAGTGGCCTCGTCCTTGCCCAGGTTCAGATACATGGGGAGATGGGGGCCATTCCTTTTATTCGAAAACATGAAGAGGGCTGGTGAGATGGCTCTGTGAGTAAAGGTGTTTGCTATGAAGAAGCCTAACAACATGAGTTCTATCATTGGGACCCACACAGTGGAAGGACAGCGGACTCCTACAGGTTGTCCTCTGCACACGCGCACACACACCAAAAACAAATAGGAGACTTGCAGGGATCCCAGCATCACCAAAAAGATAGATTCTCCCTCCACCAGTTGAAGTCTAAAAAGACATCGTCAAATACATCTAGTAAGAATGAGCTACTTAATGTTCACAAGCGTGCTCTTACAATATAGCCTGAGCTTTCTAACAGGTTCAGTGTTGTGAATGAGCATATAGGGGACCTGAACTTGAAGAGATGAAGGGTACAGGGGAAAGTTACCACTCACTGTGACAGCTGAGCTAGGAGAAAACAGTCAAACTGCATTTGGGGGAAGTTTTCAGACTTCCTAAAGTCAGTGTGGTTAGAGGGTCTTTGGACAGGCTGGCTGGTCATGGGATAAGAGAAAGTCTGGAAGGGAATCTGGGTTTTATGTTTGGTGCAACAGAAGCTTCCTGAATGATATAGCAAAATGTGTATTTTTATTTATTCAAGTTTTTTTGAGACAGTGTCTCACTATGTAGCCCTGGCTGGCCTGGAACTCATTACGTAAACCAGGCTGGTCTCTTAACTCACAGAGATCCACTAGCCTCTGCCTCCTGAGTGCTGGGATAGAGATGAACAGGACAATATCAACTTGAGCATTTAGAAGGCTTAGCATTGTAAAGTGTTTTTTTGTTTGTTTTTAAACAAGATTTCATTAGGCTGCTCTGGCTGACCAGGAACTCATTATGTAGACTAGGCTGGTCTAGAACTCACTGAGATCCTCCTGCCTCTGCCTCCTGAGTGCTGGGGTTAAAGAAATGCACCACCACAACCAGCGTGTGTTTTATGTGCAACCCTATTCACTTGGTACTGTTATCCCAATTTTGCAGACCTGAAAACTGAAGCAGGTCACATAGAGAGCGCATATGCACCCGCCCTGACCCTATGACTCTGGGGGCAGATCTCTTCATTTCTGTAGGCCTGTTTTCCTCCTGTGATGTGGGATGAAAGCGTGAGGTTTCTAACTAGCCCATTCTTCCCTGCCTGTCCCAGATATCCACAAGCGGTGGGCCCTGGTGTGGCTGTTTGGTCTACTCTTGGCAGCAGTGCTTTTCTTCTTCCTTCTCAAAAAGGGTGGCGTGAAAGGTGAGAGCGTCCCTGTCCCTATCTTCCAGGGATAGTCCAAAGTGGGCAGCTGGGCAAGAGTGGCTGAAGCTCCTGGAGCAATACATGTGCTCTGGGGATGGGTGTGCTGCCGGCTGGGTGGGGGCCGACGGGACGGCTCCCTCCACCTCCCCTCTGCTCTCTCCCGCAGAGGCCACCAGGGCCCGGGTGGCCCTGCTCCTCCACTCCGCCGAGGGCGCGGGCTTCGAGCGCCTGGTGGGCGCGCTGGCGTCGGCTCTGAGTCAGCTGCCGCTGCGCGTGGCCGTGGACCTGTGGAGCCGCCGCGAGCTGAGCGAGCACGGGGCCTTGGCCTGGTTCCACAAGCAGCGGCGTCAGACCTTACAGGAGGACGGCGTGGTGATCCTGCTCTTCTCGCCCGGGGCTGTGGCGCAGTGCCAGCAGTGGCTGCAGGACCAGGCGTGGGCACCAGGCCCGAACGGCCCGCACGACGCCTTCGCTGCCTCGCTCAGCTGCGTGCTGCCGGATTTCCTGCAAGGCCGGGCGGCCGGCAGCTACATCGGGGTGTGCTTCGATGGCCTGCTGCCCCCCGACGCCGTGCCCGCCCTGTTCCGCGCCGCACCTCTCTTCTCTCTGCCCTCGCAGCTGCCGGGCTTCCTGGGCGCCCTGCAGGGGCGCAGCGCCTCCCAGCCCGGGTGGCTCCGGGAGCGGGCGGAGCACGTGGCCCGCACCCTGCGACCCGCCCTGGACAGCTGCTTCTTGCCCGCCAGGGCCTCTCCAGCACGCACGGGGTGGGACCCGGGACCAGACCTCGCCTTAAATAAAGACATACTGCTTTCCTAGGGCAGTCGCCCACACGAGTCTCTCCTGCTCTCCAGCGGAGCCGTTAGGATGGCCTTTAACCCCGTGACCCTGTAAAGCCGGGACAGGTGCAGCCCGGAGCTGCCTCTGATTGGCTAGCGTCAGCTGACGCAATGGCACATGGCCAGCTATCATTGGCTGGGAGGTGGGCCCCGCCCTCCTGACTGCGGCGGTGGGAAAGGGTGTACCTTTCGCGCAGGGACTCTCGGCTCCGGGGCGGGGAGGTGGCTTTTTTCCTCCTGGGCTTTCTAGGCGGGTCTGGATCCTCCCTGCCGGTTCTAGGCGGAGCCTTGGTCTCCCAGCTAGACCCTGAACTTGACCCCTTCCCTTCATATCCGGATCCGGGCTCTTCCCCAAGACCGCCCATCCGGCCTCCTCTCCGAATATTTGGGATCTGACCCCTTCTTTTTAATCCTACAGATCTGACCCCCAGTAACTCACTGTAACCCTAAAACAATGGGCTGACTCCTGCCCCTCGCCAGCGATCCAGGTCACCTCCCCTACGGTAACAGGGATAACATCTTTCCCCTGGAATTGCAGATTAGATTCCTTTCCCCACCCAACCTTCCGTACCTCCAGTACCCCAGTTTGTCCTGTTTTGTAATTACTTAGGCTTGGGCTGTGAAGGCCCCGGGACCTCAGAACTGACCCTTTGCTTTCCCACCTGGAGCCTGGCTCCTCCAGTGAACCCTCCCCAATGCCCTGTATCTGCAGGTCCCCAACCTGGGAAAAGATGGCCCCACAGCCTCCGCGGGGCCTGGTCCTAGCTCTGTTCTGGGGCCTTAGCCTGTTTATGAGCTTTCCGAGGCCTGCCTGCCTCCAGCCTTCTCCTCCTCCCCATTCTTCTCCGCCCGCTGAGCCTCATCCATGTCATACCTGCCGGGCACTGGTGGACAGCTTCAACAAGGTGGGTGCACTAGCAGCCGCGAGGGAGGGGTCCAGCTACTTGTGAGAGTGGATGGCAGGGAACTCTCTCCGGATCTGCGTGGACTCCAGTCCCAATCTTGGTTGCTTTACTATATGACTTTGGGCAAGTTACTTCTCTGTCCTTACGTTTCCACTTCAATAAAATAGTGACGTGCTAGAGTGCTAATTTTCTCTATATCCAGGGCCTGGAGAGAACCATCCGGGACAACTTTGGAGGTGGGAATACTGCCTGGGAGGAAGAGAAGCTGTCTAAATATAAAGATAGGTAAGAGGATGGTGGGAGCTAGGGGAGTGCCCCACATCTCAGTCTCTGTTGACTGGTTGTGGCTGGGGTAGGAGCGCTTGGGGGGCATTTATTCATTCCACAGTGTCATTGAGCATTTGCAGTACAGCAGTAAATAAGAAAGCAAAGCCCTGTCTTCATTTCGTTTTAGAGGAGACAAGCAGTGAATAGATTATACACATACAGGTGAAGAATAGGAACTCAGGTAGACCACAGACGGATGGGATGCAAGATGTTTTAAGTGGGCCATTTGGATAGACACCCAATGTGAAGCAGCAAGCTTCCTGACAGCCTGGAAGAGATCTGTACAGTGTGGGGTTCATCTTGCGTTTCTTTCAAAAGTGGCTGGAGTTGGGACTCAGGAAATGGCTCAGCAGTTAAGAGAGCATAGTGCTCTTGCAGAGTACCTGAGTTCAATTCCAAGCACCCATATTGGGTTGCTCACAACTGCTTGTAACTCCAGCTCCAGGAGATCCGACACCCTCTCTGGCCTCCATGGGCATCTGTGCTCATGTGCCCATACCCACATACAGACACGTGCATATAATTAAAACTAATCTAAATCTTTTTTTTTTTTTTTTTCGGTCTTTTTGAGACAGGGTCTCCCTATAGCCCCAGCTGTCCTGGAACTCACTATGTAGACCAGGCTGGCCTTGAACTCACAGAGATCCACCTGTCTCTGCCTCCTGAGTGCTGGGATTAAAGGCATGTGCCACCACACCTGGCCCAATATAAATCTTTTTTAAAGTGACTGAAATGGAATGAGCAAAAGGCTACAGAAATAGGTTTAGATTTTGTCCTGAATGTGATGGGAAGCAACTGGAAGGTTTGAGTTTGGGGTGTTTTTTTTTAAGATTTATTTTACACATGAATGTTTTGCCTGTGTGTGTGTGTGTGTGTGTGTACCACGTGTGTACCCAGTGTGTCTGATGCCCACGGAGACCAGAAGAGGGCATCTGATGCCCTGGAACTGGGGTCATGGGCAGTTGTGAGCTACCTTGTGGGTGCTGGGACTGAACCTGGGTCCTCTACAAAAGCAGCCAGTGCTCTACAGTGATGAGCTATCTCTCTAGCTCCAACTGGAAGGTTTTGAGCAAGTAAGTGATAGTCTCATTGAAGAGATTCCTCATACTACTTTTTCTCTATTCTGTTTGTGTGTGTGTTTTGAAGTTTTTCCATTTACACTGCTTTTAAAAACTTCAGGGAGCCAGGGCAGCATGGAGGGAGTGGGGAAGCCAGTTCAGGGACTCATGCACAGTCTAGGTATGAAGGCAACATGAACTAGCAGGGTATCCAGGGCAGAAATGGTGAAAACACGTTGGATTCCAGGCATATTTTGGAGGTAATCAGTTGACATAATGACTTCTGTTTGGGGTATGAAAAAAAAGAAAAAACACTGGTGCAACTGGGTGAATCACCCAACTGTCTTCTGAGAAAATACAACTGCAGAGAAGGGTTAGGATAGGGTGGAGTCAGGCACTGCATATACTAGGGTGAGATATTCACTAGACACCCAAGTAGCCTCCATTCAATTCTGTAGCTCAAGGGAGAAGTGGGAACTGGAAACAGACTTTTAGGGTTGTCACCTTATAGCCAGTATTGAAAGCACAGGAAGATGTGAGAGTGCCTGCAAAGCTGAGGCCTGAGCCCGGGGGCCTGTAGCTCTTCAGAGTCACATTGAGACGGGGCAGCAAAGACTTGGATTAGACAGACCTGGTAGTCAGTTCTTACTCTGTTTAACCTTGGTAACACTACTTCCCAGAGCTCCAGTTTCTTCACCTGTTTCATGGGATTGAGGTAAGGGATAAATTCGAGTGCCCACTAGAAAGAAAAGGGTAACGCTGGTCACTCTCCTCTCCCTGTTTCCTCATTTAGGCATGAGATAGCCCCAAGAATACTCCTCACTTTATAATGGCTCCTGGTTTCTTTTTCCTCTTTAATATATTCAACATTGTGTGGTGGGGTAGGGTATGGTGGTGCCTTAGTACGCATGTGGAGGTCAGAAGACAACTTTTGGAAATCAGTTCTTTCTTTCCACCATGTGGGTCCTAGGGATTGAACTCGGGTCCTCAGCCTTGGTGTCAAGTGCTTTTATCCCTTGATCTATCTCAGTGGCTCCTAGTTCCTTCCTTTTTCCATTCTTCCCTCCCTTTCTTTTTCCTTTCTTCTGTCTTTCCTTTCTCCTCCCATTCTCTTTCTCCTTGTTTTATTTAAATTTGTATGCCAGCCTCTGTCGGACCCCTTAAATATGTAATACAATGCATCCTGTTTATCTATATTTATTTTATTTATTTGTGTGTATCTGTGTTTGTGTGTATATCTGTGCTGGTACACAGTGTACTGGCTGTGTGTGCACAGTGTGGGTGGAGGCCAGAGGTTGACTTCAAGTGTCTTCTTCAGTCACTTTCCACCTTATTTTTTGAGACAAGCTCTCTTACTGAACCTGGAGCTCACTGATTTGGCTATTCAGCTAAACTGGAGACTGAGATCTCCAGTCTTTGACACCCGCCCCCACAAGTGCTGGGGTGACAGACCCCCCTGCCATACCTGGCTTTTAATATTTTATTTTTATTTTATGTGTATGAGTGTATTGCCTGCATGTATGTAACTGCAGCTGTGTCATGCAAAAACTGCGGAGGTCAGAAGAGTGCATTGGATCCCCTGGAACTGGAGTTACAGGTGGTTGTTAGCTGCCATGTAGGTGCTGGGAATCAAACCTGGGTCTTCTGGAAGAACAGCAAGTGTTCTTAACCACTGAGCCATCTTTCCAGCCCCACATATTTGTTATTTATTTCTTTTAGATAGGGTCTCCTGTAGGCCAGGCTGTCCTCAAATTTGCTATATAGCTAAAGATGATCTTGAATTCCTGATCTTTGTGCTTCTGCCTCCGAAGTGTTGGGATAACAGGTATGAGCTATCACACGTGGTTTATATTTTAATTTTTAAAATTGTAATATACATACACAAAATTTTGCTATGCTGAGGATATAGCTAGTGGAGTTGGTACAGTGCTTGCTTAGCATTCACAGTGCCCTGGGTTCCATCCCTAGCACCTAATAAAACCGGGTTGTAAGCCTAGTGGTGCATACCTGTAGTTCTAGCACTTGGGAGGTTGAAGCAGGAGGTCAAGGCCAAACTCTACTACGTAGTGAGTTTAAGGCCAGTCTGGGCTACGTGAGACCCTGTCAGAGAAGTGAGGGGTGGGGTAGGGAAGGAAGGTAGGTAGGTAGGTGAGCTGTGAGGTTAGCCAGTGGTGAAGTAGTTCCATGTGTCAGGCCCTGGGTTCAATCTCCAGTACTAGGAAAGAAGGAGGGGAAGGAGGGAGGGAGGGAGGAATCAGTCAATCACCACTAGGGACATTTCACACATTTCCAGTACTGTACAACCACTATCTAGTTCCAGAACTTTTTTTGTTTTGGTTTTGTTGTGACAAATTCTCTCTATATAGTCTAGACTGCCTCTAACTCTGTGATCCTCCTGCCTTAGCCTCCAGAGTGCTGAGATTATAGGTATGTGCACCAAATTCTGCTCTATAACATTTATTAACCCCCCCCCCCCCAAAAAAAATCTCGTACTCATTGAGCAGCTGCTGCTCATTCTTCCTTTCTGGCAAGCTCATGGCAGCCACTAATCTACTCTAATCAAACAGACAACTGTCCTGATCCCTTTGACATCCTACAGTATATGACCTTTTTTGTCTGGCTTCTTTCATTTAGCATGTTTTCATGGCTCATGAAACTTGTGGTACATTGCTTTCTTCCTTTTTTTTTTTTTTAACTTTTTGAGACAAGGGTCTCCCTGTAGCCTGAGCTAGCCTGGAACTCACTCTGTAGACCAGGCTGGCCTTGAACTCACAGAGATCCGCCTGCCTCTGCCTCCTGAGTGCTGGGATTAAAGACATATGTCACCATGCCCAGCTTACTTTATTGCTTTATTATGACTGAATAATATCCCACTGAATGAATATACTGCATTTTTCTTTCATCATTGATGGACAGGTTGTTTTCTACTTTTTGCCCATTTATGAAGCTTGAGTATGAATTTGTGTACAAGGTTTTATTTGAATACCTGTTTTTCATTCTTTTGGGTATATGCCCAGGAGTGGAACTGCTGAGTCATGGGGGTTCCATGTTTAACTTACTGAGAAACTGTGGAAAGTGATTGTACCATCTTGTATCCCCACTTGCATTGCAGAAGGGTTCCAGTTTCTCCACTTCCTTGCCAATACTTAGGAGATTATATATTTTCAGGGGCTGGGGTGGGGGCTGCACTATATAAGGAACTCAGGTCCTCACTCTACCCTTTAGTCATATCTGCCCAGCCCGGATGTATCTCAGCTCATATGCAGGAACTGAGGAGTCTTACTACACACCTGCAGGGGTGTGATTGTTTCTATTTGAAAACAGAAGTGCACTAGGCATGACACAATGGTATTGGGAGTGGTAGGGAGGTAGAGGCAGGAGAGTTCTGGGTGACTTAGTGAGACCCTGACTCAAAACTGAGAGAGATGGTAGGTGGATCCAGCCTGGTCTATATAGAGTTCCAGTCAAATAAAACAAAAGGGGCTGGAGAGATGGTAAAGTCAAAAAGCCAGAAAAACCAGAGGTTTGATGATTTGCTCAATTCACACATCTAGCTTTGAACCTAGGTCTGTCTGACTCTCAGAGCCAGTACTCTCCTCTATGCCCATGGCCCTTCCTTTGCTATTGTCAGAGTGTGAGGGAGGGTAGAGGGACCTGAGGAGCTGGTAGGTGGGGTGGAGTATGTTCTTAACACCCATCTCATCCTGCTAGTGAAACGCGCCTGGTGGAGGTGCTGGAGGGTGTGTGCAGCAAGTCTGACTTTGAGTGCCACCGCCTGCTGGAGCTGAGTGAGGAGCTGGTGGAGAGCTGGTGGTTTCACAAGTGAGTGGCACAGGAACCTTCCCTGGGAGTGGGTTACAGGCAGAGCCTGGTGATAAGGCTTTCATTTGGCCAAGAAATGGGTTGGGTTACATGCCGTCCTTGTTTGGAGCCTTCCAAATCCAGATCCAAGGACTTGCTGTGGGACCCAGGCTCCCACCCTGGGCCTGTTTACCCCTCTGCCAAATGGGAAAGGGCCTCTGTCTGGTGCTTTCTGGGACATATTCCCAAGCTGGGCTGAATCACAGATTCAGTGAGAGGTGGGCAGTAGGCGGATGCCCTGGCACTGTTTCAGCATCCTCTCCCTTCCACCCTACCCCTGCTTCAGGCAGCAAGAAGCACCGGACCTCTTCCAGTGGCTCTGCTCAGATTCCCTGAAGCTCTGCTGCCCCTCTGGGACTTTCGGGCCCTCTTGCCTGCGTGAGTCTTTCACAGTCCTCTGGGAGTGGGAAGAGACAGTGACCAGCCTGGCTGTGTGAGTGCAGGTTACTCAGATAGTGTCTGGACTCCAGCTCTGGCCTGTTTCCCAGGACTGAAATGAGGAAATTAGTGGGACAGGCTCTGAAAAAAGGCACAAAACTAGCTTGAGCCACATGCAATGTGGTATTAAATAAATGTTGCCCCCACCCTGCCCCCTCTCTTTATTCAAAAGAATCGAGTTCAAGGCCAGCCTGATCTACATAGCAAGTAGACCATAAAGAGACCCTGTAAAATAATAATAATAATAGGAAGAAGAAAATGAAAATAAAATGAAAGGAAAAGATTATCTAGTTCCTCAACACGTTATTAAGTAAATTACATATAGTTTTATGGCAAAGTATGTGAACATTAAAATTACTCTTCCTGCTGGGGATTGTGGTGCATACCTTGTATCTCAGTAGTTAGGGGTCAGGCAGGCAGATCTCTGTGCATTTTAGGCCAGCCTAGTCTAAATAGCAGGTTCCAGGTCAGCCAGGGCTACATAGTGAGATCCTGTCTCAAAATAAATTAAATAAATAAATAAATAAATAAATAAATTTAAATTTCCTTTTCAAAAATATTTAACAACATGCAGAAAATAGTGTCTTACATGTTAAAATTGTATATAAGATCTCACTGAGTTGATGTCTACCCACAGCATGTCCTGGGGGCACAGAGAGGCCCTGTGGTGGCTACGGGCAGTGTGAAGGGGAAGGGACTCGAGGGGGCAGCGGGCACTGTGACTGCCAAGCCGGCTATGGGGGCGAGGCCTGTGGCCAGTGTGGCCTTGGCTACTTTGAGGCGGAGCGCAACAGCAGCCATCTGGTATGTTCGGGTAGGTAGACAAAAGGTGTGTGGGGCAGGGACAGCAGGGATAACTACTACTTGCCCATCCTCACACTACCTGCTTTCCACCCAGCGTGTTTTGGCCCCTGTGCCCGATGCACAGGACCTGAGGAATCCCACTGTTTACAGTGCAAGAAGGGCTGGGCCCTGCATCATCTCAAGTGTGTAGGTGAGTGGGGAGATGGATGGGGGCCTGGGCTTCATTCATACACATGCCTGGCCTGAACCAGCATAGTCCCCATCCTCATGGAGACCTCAGCCAGGCTGGGAAGGTAGGAAGCCAGGCACTTACAGTGCAGACTGACCTGTATGCAGTGGGAGATGCATGTCCAGATTCAGCTCAGTTGGGGGCCAAGAAGGATTAGGAGTGGCTTCTTATAGGAGGTGCCACTTTGGCTTGTCCAAATCTTGAACACTGAGGAAGGGTTACATTAGCCAGAGGTATAAGAACACTGAACTTGGGGTCAGGAAACCTGGATTCAGTACTTGGTCTGGTCTCTACCTAGCTACCTGTATAGACTGATAGAGACTCAAAGCTGCTGTGACAGGAAGATCCTCAAAGATTCTGATATAAAGAACTGCAGAGGGCCAGTGAGATGGCTCAGCAGCTAAAGGTGCTTGCTGCCAAACCTGGGGACCTGAGTTCAAGAACCCTGGGATACACATGGTAGAAGGCAAAGACCAACTCCAGCAAGTTGTCCTCTGACCTCCCAAGTGCATGCTGTGGCATGCACACAAAATAGATAAATGTAAAAAAAAAAAAATTACAGAGATTTAAAGCCAGGCATGGTGGTACATACCTGTAATTCTAGCACTTGGGAGGTAGATACAGGAGGATTAGGAGTTCAAGGCTATCCTTAGGGACATAGTGTGTTCCAGGCTGGCCTGGACTACATGAGACCCTGTCTCAGAAGTACAAAAGAAAAGAATATAGAGATACTTTATCATATCATGGTCCTGACGAGATTGGTCCAGGTTAGCAGCGAAGCTCTGCATTTCAGTCACTGAGAGACCCAGGTTCCCTCTACTGAATGGCTGTCCCCTCAGATGTTAGCCACTTGAATGGTGCTGAGTCATGGTCACCTCTCTGGTGCTTGTCCCAGCACTTAGGAAGTGAGAAGAGGCTGATTGTTTTATGGCCAGGCTAAAAGTGGAACACATAGATTGCATCTCCATCCTGTGGCAGAACTCTATCCACTTAGCTGTGGCAATGCTAGTGTTGACGCAGAAGCATAACTCTCACCTCAAAGGGGAATAAGAGAGAGTTTATTCTGGAGCCAAATATGAGTGACCATGGCCCGGGAACACAGATTCAGGTTACCCCAAATACCATGTTCCGGTGCGGTAACAGTTACATTACTTTATAGTAACAGAAAAAAGGAAAGTCGTAAATCAAGACACTTTTCAAATACATTGGGGGGGGGGTGTGGTTCTGATGACATTATTAGCTTTTTGTTTGGTGAGACCTGGTGGTCTGCTAAGTTAATACACTTTATTGGTCACAGGAATGTTAATTTAGAAACAAAGGTAGGCAGTGTTTCACTATTTATGGGGTTAAAAGTTATCTCTAGATAATCTGTGAATAGGCTCCAGATCTACAACATCTCAGTTGGTGGGCTCCTCAGGAAATTCAGTCAAAAGCTCAGTTCTTTCTAGGAACTTTCACACTAGTCTACTGTACCTTCGCTTCAGTGTTGGTGGTCAGCTTACAGTCTCGTAGTACTACATTTATAATCCTAGGCAAGTCCATGTCTGACAGTCCTGCCTCAGCTTCCCTGCATAGACTGACATTCTCACCCTTACCCTCTATAGACATCGATGAGTGTGGTACAGAGCGAGCCAGCTGTGGAGCTGACCAGTTCTGTGTGAACACAGAAGGTTCCTACGAGTGCCGAGGTCAGTGTTCACTTGTGCAGGGAGGGTCTGGGGATGGAGGAGAGGGACAGGAGATGCTGTTTCATGTCTGTCCCTCCAAACTTCTGCCTCTGACTCCCTGGGCCCAGGGGCAGCCCTCATCTCATCTGTCTTTTTCAGATTGTGCAAAGGCCTGCCTGGGATGTATGGGGGCAGGGCCTGGCCGCTGCAAAAAATGCAGCCCTGGCTACCAGCAGGTGGGCTCCAAGTGCCTCGGTGAGTGTTCTCCCAACAGGGGCTAGAGTACGGGAGAAGCAAGGGAAGAAGGGTGCAATGGTGTGTCAGGATGTGAATACAGTTTGGGGTGCTGCATGGGAGGCCCCGGCAGTCAGCACCCTGACCACTTCCCCTCCCTGTAGATGTGAATGAGTGTGAGACGATGGTGTGTCCAGGAGAGAACGAGCGGTGTGAAAACACAGAGGGTGGTTACCGCTGTGTCTGCGCAGAGGGCTACAGACAGGTGGAGGGCATCTGTGTGAAGGAGCAGATCCCAGGTAAGTGGGGAGGGTGGGCTGGTCTGGTCCAGAGGGAGAGCAGGCATACCCCTCCTCCAGGCAGCAGCAACAGTGACATCCTTGCCCCACTCCACTGTCACCCAGCCCCCAAGACTGCACTGAGACCTGGAGCCTGTGTCTGCTCTCCAGAGTGGCTTTTGGTGGCCTTACCTCCCAGGTAGTAAGAGAATCAGATTTGTTATCAAATTACTCTGCTTCCCTAAGCCTGTTTTCTCAACTGTCCGGTGGGACCAGGACCTCGTTTCTGTGAGAAAAGTAACCACAATGATAGGGACCACTTCCTCAGCTCTTACTGGGGTCACACACATGTGATTCTAAGCATATTACCTTTAATCCCTTGAAACCACCCAACACCATAGGTGTTCTCCCCATTTTATGGATGTGGAAGCTGAGGTACAGAGAGGCACACAGCAGCTTGCTTAGGGCCACAGCTGGGATTCAGATTTGGCAGAGCTGGGCTGGCACATGTAATATGGGGCCTGCCCCCAACACATCCTCCTCAAGGCGATGGGCAGCCCCTTCAATTCCCAGCCTGCTTCCCACTAATCGTGGCATGTCTCAGCTGCCCCTGCAAAGTCCTTCCGAGCAGTGAATGGTTCTGTGTGCCTGGTGGGCTGGACAAACTTGGCAGCAGTGATTAGGCATGTGGGAGTGGTGGGCAGTTCCAGGGACTGCCAGTCTGACAACAGGAGTGACAAGCTGCACCTCCTCCAGAGTCTGCAGGCTTCTTCTCAGAGATGACGGAGGATGAGCTCGTGGTCCTGCAGCAGATGTTCTTTGGTGTCATCATCTGCGCACTGGCCACACTTGCTGCTAAGGGCGACTTGGTGTTCACTGCCATCTTCATTGGGGCTGTGGCAGCCATGACTGGGTATTGGTTGTCAGAACGCAGTGACCGTGTGCTGGAGGGCTTCATCAAGGGTAGATAATCTTTGACATCACCTACAGGATCTCCTCCTACCCAGGCTGTCCCCCAGAGGTCATCTTTCTCTCCTGACGACACCTGGGGCAGCTTGGTTTCTCTTTGAGAGTGCAGTAAACACCCTCTTACTTGCCTTACTGAGAAGCCCAGGACCCCAGGCCTAAGCAGGCAGGCATGGTCCCTGGGGTGAAAAAGAAACCCTGAAGCTGATGCTATGAGGTCCTCACCTAGGGGACTGGCAGGCTCCACATCATGTGAATTTCAAAAGACAGTTTCTCCTTAGGGAGGTTGCAGGGGAGCTTTGGCCCCTGCTCTGGATGAGAGGGGTCCCCATAGGGACCCAGGGCCACCACAGCCCTCCTGCCAGGTGCATGCTGCCAGCTCCTGTTCTGTGTTCACCCCCTTCTCAGTCATTGACTTATTTATTCATCTCAGGAAATAAAAGAACGTCTTGGAAACTAGAAGAGCTTCAGTCTTAACTCCCTGCACCCACCCCCAACTCTGCCACCTTGGGAAGTTTTCCAAAATGCTCAGAAACTGAGGGCTGCCATGATGAAGACATGGAGGGAGGACTGGAGGCCCACAGAGGAGCCAGATTGGGAATTGAATTTTCTGGGTTGAATACCACTGTCATTTGCAGGACCCTAGACAGATGACTTTCACATCCAAACTTCACTCTTCTCATTTCTAAAGTGGCCATGAGAATACTTTCCTTTTGGGCTTAATGTGGGAATTAAAATGAGGTAACCACTAAGAGCTGAGGACTGCACAACAGAATAGACGGGAAGACAACCATGGCTGTTACTATGAAAGCCTGGAGCAACTTTCCTTTGGAAGACCTGTTCCCTTCTTTGAATTTCTTTTTTAAAAAAAGAAAAAAATTTAGCTGGGCGTGGTGGTGTATGCCTTTAATCCCAGCACTCAGGAGGCAGAGGCAGGTGGATCTCTGTGAGTTCAAGGCTAGCTTGGTCTACATAGTGAGTTCCAGGCCAGCTGGGACTACAGGGAGACCCTGCCTCAAAAAGACACCCCCCCAAAAATTTAGTTTTAGTGTATGAGTGTACTGCCTGCATGTATGTAAGTGCACCCTTGTCGTGCAATGCCCATGGAGGTGGAGTTATGGACAGTTGTTAGCTGCCATGTGGGTGCTGGGAACTGAACCTGGTCCTCTGCAAGAGAGGCTGATGCTCTTAACCACTGAGCCAGCTCTCCAGCCTGCCTCTTTGAATTTCTGTGGGGAGGAGCCCCCTGTCTTCTCTATTAGGGTACAGGATCCTGGCTTGACTTCCCGGTTTGAGCCAAATTGATAGGGTTTATTTCTTTGGCACAAAGAGGACAGTCATTCTGGACAAGTGAGGTGCGTCTCTCCACTAGGGAGTCAGGAGCAACTGTTCCCTATTCCCCATGCTCAAATTCATGCATGTCCACCCTGTATCCTGTGTAACTCACGGCCTCTGTGCAAAATATCTGCTGAAAAAAATAGAGATTTTTAAAAAACCGAAATGGGTGGGGTGAATTCAAGCCCAGCAGTCCCAGGGGGGCTGCTGCAGTCAGGTGGAGGCCCCAGACGGCCAGTTTTTCCAAATGATCAACTGTCTTGGCACAGTCATCGAAGAGAGGGTCCAGGTTCTTTTGGATGGCAGCTCAGAGCTCAATGGTGTCACTGGAGGCACTTCGAGAGTCTCCGGGCTTGCAGCGCTGCTGGACCTCACCCTGTGGCTCCCCAGCCCGGGCAGGAGTAGGGACTGGGGCTGGGGTGGAGGCCGGCAGGAGCTGCACCGTGCTGGGCAGTTCATCTAGGGGCAGACTGTCCATGGACGACAGCCCGTGACGCCATGGGTTCCAGCTGATCTTGAGGGAGCCCCTGGAGAAGCTGTCCAGCGAGCTGCCTGACACCCCTCCGTCTGCGGCCCGGCCAGGCTGGTCAGCCACATGGTGCGGGACCGGGCCGCGCATGCGCACATCGCTGAGCGAGCGGCAGCGTCCGCGGAGGAGCGAGACGCCCGTGCCCTCTAGCTCCGCGTCGGGCTGGCTGCCTCGGCGAGACCGCAGAGCACCCCCGGGCGGCTGGAAGGCTAGGCCGCGCAGGCCGCAGTGGCGGAACACGCTGTCTCGAACCAGGTGCTCCCGGAAGAGCGCGGCGTCGATGCTGCGGCTCAGGTTGATGGGCGACGGGGGCCGCAGGTCCAGTTCGCTCAGCGACGGCGCGGGCTCCACGCTGCTGCGGGACATCCCCGGACCCCTTTGGCGACCGCGACCCAGCGAGGCAGCCGAGCTCCAGGCCCCAGAACCCGGCGTGGCAGCCTGCCCACCTTCCGCAGCGTTGCGGATGAGGCTCTTGCTGATGTCCAAGCTCCCGGTGCCCAGGCCACTGGGCCCCGCGTAACAGTTGTTGGGCCTCTCTGGCACCTCGCTCTTGCCGGTCGGGGCAGGGCATGCCAGGCGCAACAGCTTGGCCCAGCAAGCGTGCTCCGTGGGAGGCCTGGGACGCGTGGCGGCCACGGCGGCCAGTGCCAGGGCAAGCGCCCATGTCAGCTCCAGCAGGCGCAGCCAGAAGTGCACTCCCCACCAGGCCCAGGAGAAGCGGCTCTCCCGGCCTGGCCCCGGGTACAGCCAGAGCGAGGCCGCCAACTGTAAGCCACTGGCCAGCAGCCCCAGCGAGCCCGCCACAGCCAGAAGCCGTGGGCCCGGGCTGGCATCACAGCCCCGCGGGCCTTCTAGCAGGCGCCGACGGCACAGACAGAGCGTGCCCAGAGCCACGGACGCGCCCCAGGCGCAAGATAAGCCTTGGGTCAGGAGGTTGAGCACAGGCCTCGTGGTGTTGAACAGGTCTGTGGCCAGCAGTCCCACCACATGCACCAATCCAATGGCTCCCAGCAGGAACCGGTTCTGTAGCGGCTGTGGCAGCCTCGCACCCAGGCCCAGCAGGGTCAGGGCGGCCAGCGCAGTGAGTAGCAAGGGGAAGGGCAGGTTGTAGAGCACCAGGCCTGCGCGTATGCCCAGCCGTGCCTGAGAGCCATACGGATCCGTGAGCATGTAGGCAGATCGCAGCCCCGAAGCTACCAGTACCAGCACGGCAGCTACTAGCGCCAACCGGGGTCCCGACAAGGCGGCTGCCAGTGTGGCTAGTGCCAATAACGCTGGCAGCAGAAAGAGCGCCCCCACTCCATAGACATGGAGCTCCCAGGAAAAACTCAGCACCTGCCGTAGAGGTCCCCAGCGCAGGGGGGGTGCAGTGGCATTGGCTGGGGGGCTGGAAGCTGGGGCTGGAGCCATGGAGCTGGCTGAGGACTCTGGAGGGGGTGGTTGGCCCAGGGCTCTCTGCGTAGTGACTCGAATGAGGCCGCGGCGTGATGTCGAGGGAGCCTGGGCTGGGGGTGCTGGAGGATGGCTTTGGGGGCGCCCTGGCCATTCCTCTGTTTCATCTGCAATAATAATACGAAATAGCTCTTTAGATAGTGCTTTGGAGAGCTGGGTATGTTGACCTACGCCTATAATCAGGAGGTGGAGCAAGGGAGTCAGGAGTTTAAAACTATCTTCAGCTATATAGTGAGTTCTAGGCCAGCCTGGGCTATATCAGACTCTGTCTCAAACAAAAAGTGCTTCTAATTTTTCCAAATTTGAAAGTGTAGTTAGTTAAGTTAAAATGCAGTCTGTGAAATAGAGATCAATAGCACCTGCTAGGGTCTTTGGGCCATGATGAGGGCACACAGTATTTAGCACAGTGCCCCTATCCCACAAAGACAAAACATGTAAACTGTGTGTGTGTTGCTGTGAATTTAACCTATGGCCTTTCATATGTTAAGCAATAATTCTAACACTAAGGTACATCGACAGCTCTGTGTTTTTTGAGACAGGGTCTCATAAAGCTATCCTCACACCTGTCTTGAACTCAATATGTACCTCCAGTCTGGCATTTTCAAAAGCTCCACCAGTGATTTGCCAGAGTTGGAGAATCACTGCAGGAGATATGTCCATGTTGAACAGGAGAACATTCTAGCTCAAAAGGGAAAATGATTTCTCCTGGAGTCCCCAGTGAGCATTAGTTTATTATTCTTGGCTGCCTGAAGGAGGACCTAGCCAGTTCCTTTACGTAGGTGTTTGTCTCTCTTCAGCCCTGGCCCCACAGCCCCTTGACTTCACACAGGGTCTTAGTTACACTCTTCACCAAGCCATGACCTCACCTGGCTGCAGGGCCCCCACAGGGCTCTCTGTTCCATTTGTAGCCAGACCAGCATTTGGAAGAACAGGGATGAAGGACTTGGGAGTGCCTGGGGCCTCCACTGCTCCTCTCACCCGCTGCGGGGAGATAGGATCTGCTCCATTCATTGCTGCTATTGCTGAAATGGAAAAACAATCACTGCCTTGCCTGACCCTCTTGCAATCCCCCACATCTAGTCCCTCCAGAGGGAAGTGCCATCACCCTAATTTGTTATAAGAAGGAAAATGGTACTCCAAAGTTGCACCCAGTTGCCCTGGACCACTGGCCCTCACAGCCCCACTCAGCCCCCTCATTGTGATTCCTACCTGGTCTCAGTGGCCCATCAGGAGCATCTGAGGCTGGAGAAGGTGTGGGCTGGGGTGCTAGGGAGTCCTGCCCACCGGGGATGCCAGTCTGCTTGGGCAGGGGAGCCAGGGAGCTGACTTCCCAGGTCTCTCCAACTCCAGCCTTCTGCGGGGGCTCAGCTGGCATCTCCTCAGCAGGAGGAAGGCTTCTGGCCAATGGCAGGTTTAGGTGGGGCCCAGGCTCCTGAGGAGATGCCCCTTCAACTGGTGTTGCTGAGCCAACTTCCGGGGCTGCTGGATCCTGCAGGGTGAGGAAGGGGCCTTGGATGGCCTCCTGGAAGCCCTCTTCATGCCCACCCTGCTTCTCCAGTGCTGGCCTACTCACGACACCTGCCTGGGGTACCAGAGTATGGGGAGGATTCTGGTGGTCCCAGGAAAAAGCCTGTAGCATGCCAGTCTTCATTTTGGCCTTCAAACCCTCATCTCTAGTTGGTCGTTGTCCCACCATGCCTCCAGGCTCTCGTGGGGCTGGGGGAACTGTGGCTACCCTGAGTTGAAGACTGGGAGTTGTAGGAATGAAAGTGAGGTGGGGGGCCTCCACTGGGTGGGGGACTTGTGCTTCTAGAATCTCCTGTGAGTCAGGAGGTCCTGTCCAGCCCTGGGAGCTGGGCCCTTGGGCCAGCTGGAGGTCATCGGTTATTGGGAGGTGCTCACCCTGGGCCCCAGGGGCCACTTTGGGCCCATGCAGGGCCGGGCCCAGTGGAGAGTCTGCAGACTTCTCAGGACCTTCAGTAGAGGCCTGAGGGACACTAGGGTGCCAGGGACGTTTGTTTCTGGGCTTTTCCCAGAAAAGATCAAAGGTCTGGGGCTCTGATGGGATCAGGTGGAGTTCTGAGTCCTCTAGTGGCCTGGGAAGGCCCCTGCCCAAGGCTGGGCCAGTCCCCATGGACGGCAGGAGCAGCAGCAGCAGCAACAGCAGGAGAGTACAGACACAGCCCCACGTGCTCAGAGCCATGGTCTAATCTGATGCCTAGGAATAGAGCCCTGGACTTCCAGATCTCACTGGATGAGCCTACAAAAGAGGAGAGAGGAAACAAGATAAGTAAAGAGAGATGACATGTGAGCACGGAGGAGTCCCATGACTTCCCCAAGGGGCTGGTGGGAAAGGAGAGAAACTCCAGCAGCAGCTTTGGCTGGCTTTCATAGTGCTGGAAGGGGCTATGCATGCTGCCGGAAAGAACCTCAATCGTCAGCCTTGCTCAGCCGTGAATCCTGCAGGCTACAGTAACAACTAGCTTGGCAAGATACCCACTAGTGCAATAGTGACACGAATGTTATGTGAGTAACCAACTACTTTCTGATTGGATTTAAGGTCAGCTTCACAAAATGGAGCCCCAATCTGACACTGGTATCAGGCCTAGGAACCTGTGGTTAGACAGGTCACAGGCCATAGAAAAAAGTCCAATACTATTATTCTGCTAAATATTCATAGTATTAAATCAACAACTAATATCTTATTGTTATACCCTTAGATTAATGCATCTCTCAACTCTCACCAGAGAAGCATCCTCATAAAGCAGAGGGTTATTATCATAGAGACCCACAACTGGTCAGCCTGCAGAGAATAAGAGACTTCAGAGTGCTTATCCATGAATAAGACATCTATATCAAACCTCTGCCTCCCAAGGCTCAGGGATCATTGTGAAAGAAGGGGCCCAAAGACTGTAAGAGCCAGTGGTGGTGGATGACCACAAGGAAGCTGGGCAGCTAGAACTCACAGCAATGATAGCAGCATGCACAAGACCTACTCATATTCAAGCCAGACAAAAATCCCAGCACAGAGGTGCGGAAGTGGGCAAAACCCCCAACCCTGGCTGAGGGACTGTTGGCAATTATAGCTGCCAGGAGAGGGAGAATCAGTTTTCTTTAAGGCTGTGATTCTGGGTAGGTTAGCCAGGCTCCAGTGGATGGACCTACACTGAAGGGCATTGGCAGACACAAATTAGACTTCATAGGCCTGTGTGTGTGTGTGTGTGTGTGTGTGTGTGTGTGTGTGTGTGTCTGTCTGTCTGTCTGTCTATGAAATCAGACAAATAAATAGTAAGGGGGTCTAAATATGATCAAAATACATTGTATGAAATTCTGAGGGGACGGAGAGATGGCGCAGCAGTTAAGAGCACTGACTGCTCTTGCAGACGACCTGGGTTTGATTCCCAGCACCCACATGGCGGTTACAAACTGTCTTTAACTCCAGTTCCAGGGGAATCCGAAGCCCTCTTCTGACCTCTACAGCATTGCATGACACGGGTGCATTCACATGCAGGTAATACACCCATACACATAAAATGAAAATAATAAATAAAATGTTTTTTAAAAAAGGAATTCTAAAAAATTCAATTAAAATATTTTAAAAATTATTTTAAATGTTTCTAAATTATTTAAAAATAAAGCATTGAAGACATATATCTGCTCTATTTTTTTAAAAAGCTGCATCTCTAACCAGGTGTGGTGGCGCACACCTTTAGTCCCAGCACTTGGGAGGCAAAGGCAGGTAGATCTCTGTGAGTTCAAGGCCAGCCTGGTCTACATAGTGTGTTCCAGGCCACCTGGGGCTACAGGGAGACCCTACCTCAAAAAAAAAAAAAAAGTGCTGCATTTCTGGTCATGCCACTTACCCAGCTTCAGAACTTTATATGACTTCCATTACTCTTAGTAAAGACTAGAAGCTCTTTTCCTGGCCTTCCAAGGCTATGGCCACACCAGGCCACTCACCTAATCTCCACCACTCACTACCCAGTTCTGTTCCTTCAGTGTGGAATGCCCTCTCCTTCCCTCCACTTGCTGAAATCAGGGTTTTAAAAAGACTTTTTAAAAAATGTCAAGCCACAGGGCTGGAGAGATGGCTCAGTGGTTAAGAACACTGGTTGTTCTTGCAGAAGACCTGGGTTCAAATCCCAGCACCCACATGGCAGCTAACAGCTGCCCATAACTCCAGCTCGGGGGCTCCGATGGCCTCTTCTCTCCTCTGTTGGCATTGCACAACACGGGTGCACTTACCTACATGCAGGCAATACATGCTTATACATAAAATAAAAATAAATAAAATATATTTTTTTAATATTTTATTATTTTTTATTTTATTTTATGTGTATGCATGTATTGCCTGCATGTAGGTAAGTGTACCCGTGTTGTGCAATGCCAACAGAGGAGAGAAGAGGCCATCGGAGCCCCCGAGCTGGAGTTATGGGCAGCTGTTAGCTGCCATGTGGGTGCTGGGATTTGAACCCGGGTCTTCTGCAAGAACAGTCAGTGTTCTTAACCGCTGAGCCATCTCTCCAGCCCCCATAAATAAAATATTTTTTTAAAAAATGTCAAGCCAGGCATTGCCTTTAATCCCAGCACTTGGGAGGCAGAGGCAGGCAGATCTCTCTGTGAGTTCAATACCAGCCTGGGCTACATAGTTTGAGGCCATCTGGTCAGGCTTGGCAGTAAGTGTCCTTACCCATTGGGCTACTTCCCTGAAATCAGATTTTTAAAGGTCCAGCTTTGATCTTAGAGTGCCCCTTCCTGTGAGGAAAGACCAGAGTTTGAATATGGGCATTGAGTCTCCCATGCTTCTTGGCATGTGGCTCTCTTGTCTGTAAAATGAAGCTAACAACAGTGTTTTCTTTAAGGGAGTCCTTTTAAGACATAAATAATGAGATACACAAGGGCCAGGCCCACAGCAGGAGCTTAGTGTGTCGTAGGGCCCCCTCACCTTAGCCTATGTCCAGAAAGCTTTCTCCCCTTAAGCCTCCTTAATTAGTTCAACAAACTGAACATGTACTACATGCTAGGCCCTGGGAAAAAAACAGTGAACAAGGGGCCGGAGAGATGGTTCAGTGGTTAAGAGTATTGGCTGTTCTTGTAGAGAACCTGGATTCAGTTCCCAGCATCCACGTGGTGGCTAACAACTGTCTGTAACTTCAGTTTCAGGGGATCTGATACCCTCTTCTGGCCTCCACGGCATTGTACAACATGGATACACTTATATACATACAGGTAAAACATTCATACACGTAAAATAAAAATAGATTTTTTTTTTATTGAGACAGTGTCTCCCTGTAGCCCTAGCTGGCCTGGAACTTGCTATGTAGACTAGGTTGGCCTTAATCTCACGGAGATCTGCCTGCCTCTGCCCCCCAAGTACTGGGTTTAAAAGCATGTTTGATTTCCTTTTTTATTTTTGGCCTTTTTGAGACAAGGTCTCCCTGTGGCCCCAGCTGGTCTGGAACTTGCTATGTAGACCAGGCTGGCCTTGAACTCACAGAGTTCTACCTGCCTTTGCCTCCCAAGTGCTGGAACTAAAGGTGCACGCTACCACGCCTGGCTTTGTTTTGTTTTTTAAATAAATAAAATTTTCAAAAATAATAAAAATCAGTGAACAAGATTGATGGGCTAGAGAGATGGCTCAGTAGTTAAAAGCACTGGCTGCTCTTGCAGAGGTCCTGGGTTCAATTCCCAGGACCCACATGGCAGCTAACCATCTTTAACTCTAGTTCCAGAGGATCTGACACCCTCTTCTGACCTCCTCCGGCATTGCATGACACAGGTGCACTTACATACATGCAGGCAATATACACACACATAAAATGAAATTTAAAAAAAGATTGACAAGACTGCTCCTCTCTATGGAGCTGGCATTCTAGATAAGATGAACAATAATTTTAAGGGCTAGTGAGATGGTCAGGACCCACATGGTGGAAGGACAGAACTGACTCCTACAGATTGTCCTTTGACCTTCACACATGCATCGTGGCACTTGTGCACACACAATAAGTAAATAGAATGTTAAATTTTAGCCTTGAAGAACATAAAATGGGGTCAGGAGATAGACGGATGAGAGTCTGTTTGCACAGTAGTTACCTGGAGGGGCCTCTCTGGAGTGACATTAAAGTGCTGAATTATTACAGGGAGACCCTGTCTCAAAAAGAACCCCCCCCCCCAAATAAAGCTGTGCTGAATTATAAGAGATTCATGCATTTGGAGACCTGAAGGAAAAGTATTTGGCAAAAGGAACAGTGCATGAAAAGGCCCTATAGCAGGAATGAGCTCAGTGAGCTCAAGAAATATCAGAACACAGTGGACTGCTGGCAGAGAAGAAAGCAGTGGGAGAAGGTGGAATCAGGACAGCAGGGGGTGGATTGCAGCATGGGAATGGGGAGCTTGGGAGTGACTAGCTCTGAGTAGTATTTTAAAAAGGGAAAGGGGCTGGATGTGGTGGCCTCTTTAATCCCAGCACTCGGGAGGCAGAGGCAGGTGGATCTCTGTGAGGCCAGCCTGGTCTACATAGCAAGTTGCAGACTAGCCAGGGATACATAGTGAGACTCTGGCTCAATCAATCAATCAATAAATCAATAAATAAAGCCAATTGCACATGCCCAGAGAAGATAAGACAGTGGCTTATGTTGGCCTAGACACTCCTCCTCCAGGAAGCCTTCCATGCCTGACTTCCCCTGGGCATTGGTCCCCCTTTATACTATCTTTTGTCTGGCCATGGCCTGGGGCTCCTGCCTCTCATTTCACACCACTAGGCCCTGTGTATACTCAGCTCAGGTGGATGTTCTCTGAAGGTCCCTGTTCACCAGTCTATCCCTAAGTAGGCCACGGTCGCAGGAGGGACTTTTGGTGGCCAGTCAGCGGAGTTCCTGCTGTGTCAGGGGCAGGGCTATGTTCCTTTCCCCTCTGGGATACAGCTGTACAAGGGTTAGTTCCTAGCTCAGACTCTAGGAGAAGCTAACAGTCACTCCAGGTACGCCCCCCCTAGGAGCTCCCCCAGACTCATGCAGAGGTTGTGGGCAGTTTCAGGGGATTCAAACCTCTTGGGTCTATCCCCAACCACAATTCAGACTACCTTAGATCTCTCTCAAACACCTACCAAGCCCTAGACTCTGCTTCTGGCCCAGGCTGGAGACCCACAAAGAGGCAGGAGTTGGGACTGGGGTGTGCTGAGAATTCAGGAGCCCCTAACATGGTTGATCGCAGCTGATCAAGGTTGAGCTGTTTACTCGGGTTCCTCTGCTAACAGGTACAAGTAACCAACCCATTGTATAGGGGAGGAGGAGGCAACCAAGATTCAGAGAGGCTGAACAGCTTGCCGAAGGTCGCACAGCAGGCTGAGTGTACATACTGGAGATAACCAAATCCACAGGGCTCATCTAGTACGGGCAGCCAGCTCTGAAAGCTTTGCAGAGGAGGAAATGGCTGAGCTAGGCCTTCAGTGAATAACATGCCATCTGCCTACCACCCCCGATGCAAGAGATGTGGGCACCTGCAATCCAGGCAGGAGGAGCTCGCCCAGCACTGGGGTCCCATGGTTGGACAGATAGATTTGAGGGGTGGGGAGTTCCAACCACCGAGACTAGAGAATGGCCTTGGGGCAGGGCAAAGGCCTCTGAGGGGCAGCCTGCATCTTGGGTTACCGCTCTTCTTCTTCCTCCGCCTCCTCCTCCTCCCCCTCCTCCTCCTCCTCGTCCCCCTCCCCCAGGCTCCTCTCTCCCTGGCTCCACGCCTTCCCGCAGTGTCCCGAGTGGGGGGCGGGCGTCGTGCATGCCTGTCTGCCCAGGCCCTGGAAGGGTGCTGCAGGCTGTGCCCCCTGCTAGGGTCCCGCCATCACCCCCTCCCTCGGTCAGCTCCTCACCTGAGCGCTGCATCCGCAGCCCCGCGTTCACCTTGCGCGGGTCCCTGCAGCCTCTTGCTGCGCCGCATCCTAGGAGATGCTCATGCTCAGGCTTGGCCAGCAGAGCCCAGCGCTGCCGATCTCAGATCTCAGATCTCAGATCTCATTGCCGAGCCCGCCCACAGGAGCTCGGGATGCTTAACCCTTTCTCTTGGTCATGGATCTTGTCCAGCCTCACCGCCTCTCTGGCACACTAACACAACCGAGGTCACGTCTGAGCCACATGGAGAATCCTGAAGAACCCCGAAGAACCCCAGCCAGACTCAGCCTTGTTTGGAAGCTCATGAGACAGGCAGCTGGCTCCCTCTGTATCCTTACGGTATCCTTATAGGGATGCCTACACGCATAGGTAAAGCCTACGTACAACTTGACGTGCCTGCTAGGTCTTCAGTGCAGTTAGTTATATGTGCATATTAAATAGAAATGAGATCACTCTGTGCAAGTTGTTTTTATAACTTGCCTTCCCCCAATCATCATTTTACAATATATTCTGACATATTTCCCAAGTAACTATTCACGGATCTACTTCACTTTTTCCTTTTTTAAATTACTTTGTGTGGGGGTGAAGGGGGGACCTTATTCATGCCACATAGGTTGTGTGGAGTCAGTTATCTCCTACCATGTGGGTCTTGGGGCTCAAACTCAGGTCTTCAAGGTTGGAGGCAAGCTCCTTTACTTGCTGAACCATCTTGTAGGCCCTAGATCTACTTCATTCCTGCCTTTGCTGTGGAGATTTCCAACATGTTGTCAGCTGATCATGTTTACTTTGCCTGGTCCTTGTGGTTTGGATTCCTTATCTTTAGTCTTTCGCTAGCAGGAGGAATGGGACATGGCCCAACCTTGCACCCCACAGCCATGTGCATGTAACCACCACACATGTCTGGTAATCTAGTGGAGGCATGGTTAGATCTGGGGTTCTGCACACTTTCAGGTCCCAGAGACACTGTCAGGTGTCCGGGTCTCTCCAGGAACAATTGCTGATATAGTAAATGTCCATCATTTTTGTCTTTTTTTTTTTTTTAAACTCTCCCTCAGTGCTGGGGTTTAAACCCAGGCCTAATGCATGGGAGGTAAGCACTCTACCACTGTTCTCTATCTTAGCCTTTCAAATGTCGATCATTAGGCTCAGTCCATTCAGGAAAATCCATACAGGGAATGCCTGTGGGCACTGGAAATGGTGTAGACTCTGTAATGGTGAGGACAAATTTCTAGGGTAGACTGTCATTTACTAAAATGTCAAGTCACTTGAATTATAAACACACACAATGTGTACTGATTATCTTAATTCTAGCAACACAGAAATGTTCCAAGAACAATTGTTTTACTGTGAACTCTCACCTCTGCCCCCAGTGCACTCACTGTCCTCGTCATACTGTTCCCTTTGCTTATAACCTCATGTTCCCAGCAGTGGGGAGGATAAGGGATAAGGCAGCTTGGTCTACTAGGGGAGAGAGAGAGAGAGAGAGAGAGAGAGAGAGAGAGAGAGAGAGAGAGAGAGAGAGAGAGAGAGAGAGAGAGAGAGAGAGAGAGAGAGAGAGAGAGAGAGAAAGAGAGAAAGAGAGAAAGAGAGAGAAAGAGAGAGACAAAAACCCAACCAACCATGTATGGCCAGGAGTGGTGGTACATACCTGTGATCCTAGCATTCAAAAAGAGTGCAGACAGGGCCAGGCATGGTGACACAGGCCTTTAATCTCAGCACTGAGAAGGCAGAGGCCGGCAGATCTCTGCAAGATCGAGGCCAGCCTGGTTTACATAGCGAGTTCCAGGCCAGCTGAGGCTACAGGGAGACCCTGTCTCAAAAATACCAAAAAAAAAAAAAAAATGTGGAGGCAGGAGAATTGTGAGTTTGAGGCTAGCCTGAGCTATGTAGGATTTCAAGGCCAGCCTAGCATACAGAGACACCATGTCTCAAAATAAACAAATAAATGATCTGGGGCTAGAGAGATGATTCAGTGGTTAAAAGCATTGGCTGCTCTTGCAAAGAACCAGGTTCAGTTCCCAGCACCCACACTGTAGTTAACAACCATCCTTAACTCCAGTTCCAGGGGATCCAACACCTTCTCTGGCCCACACAAGTATTACATGCATGGTTGCACTTACATATACACAGGCAAGATACTCATACATATTAAGATAAAACAACAAAAATAAAAACCAACAACTAAACCAAGCATGATAGCACAAGCCTTTAATCCTAGAACTTGGGAGGCAGAAGAAGGTTTATCTCTGTCTACATAGTGAGTTCCAGGACAACCAGGAATTACATAAGGTAAGACGCTATCTCAAAAAAAAAAAAAAAAAAAACTTTCTCTGTCGTCTGTCTGTCCTCTGCCATCTATCTATCTATGCATGCATTTTAATAGAATGGAATCACACTGCATGTATTATTCTGTACATTATTCTGTACATTGTATAGTTTTGCCTTGTAGCAGAGGTAGAAACATTTTGAACACAATCCAGACTTGCTCCACCCTCTTCTTTCCTCTATCTGCCCAGTATTGCATGGTCTGGACATCTGATATTTATTCAGTCATTCCCCATATTCCCCCACTGACTGATGGGTAATCAGGTGGCCATTTTCCTCAGCTCCACCTTCAGTAGCTTCCTGACCCCCCCCCGCCCAAAAAAAAAGAAATAAAAGGAAAAAGAAACAGTTCTTCCCAGGGTTAAGGTAAGGTTTCCTTTCTCATGGGCTTGTACCTCTGGCTCTTGAAAAGCAGGCCTCAGGCCCTCTATTGTGTCTGACATGTTGTAGTTTTTCCAAATGTTCAGCCCCTGGTAGCTCGTTAATGCTGGGGCTTGCACACAGCATGCAACTCTCGTTTTGTTGAGATGTAGGTCTCCCTCTTGTGCTGGTCTCAGAGTCACAGGCCCTAGCCTCCTGAGTGGCTGGGGCTGTAGGCTGATGTGCCTCCATACCTGGCTTAGCAGTTCTTTGACTCCAGAGGACTGTGCCCTGCACCCTACTACCTGAGCAGCTCTCCTGCTCTCACCTCTTGAGAACTGGGAAGGCATCTCACCTTCCCCTGGGGTCACCCCTCTCCATTTCTTTCCATTGATCCTTTAAAGAACAGGATTCTGGGCATTCACCATGGGGACAGTGCTCCTCTGTTAGTTTCTTACAGCTAACAATGTACCCCTTGCAGTATGACTTTTGAAAATAAGCCCAGTTAGCTGGGCATGGTGGCACATGCCTTTAATCCTAGCACTCAGGAGGCAGAGGCAGGTGAATCTCTGTGAGATCAAGGCCACCCTGTTCTCCATAGAGAGTTCCAGGACAGCTGTGGCTACAGGGAGACTCTGTCTCAAAAGACCAAAATAAAATAAAAATAAAAAAAAATTAAAAAAAGAAAGAAAGAAAGAAAGAAAGAAAGAAAGAAAGAAAGAAAGAAATGAGCCTAGTTAAGAAAACTGACCTTTTGGGGCTAGAGAGATGGCTCAGCGGTTAAGAACACTGACTGTTCTGTTCTTGCAGAAGACCTGGGTTTGAATCCCATGGCAGCTAACAACTGTCTGTAATTCCAGTTCCAGGGGATCCGACAGTCTCTTCTGTCCTCCGCGGGCATTGCACAGCATGGATGCACTTACCTACACACAGGCAATACACACATACACATAAAATAAAAGTAATAAAATATAAAAAAAGAGAAAAAACAACTTTCATCTCCCATTTCCTCGATTCTATTCTTCTATTAATATGGCCTGTTATAGTTTAAATTCAAAGCGTCCCCCAAGGACCTGTGTACTAAAGACTTAGTCACTAGCTGTGGCACTTTGGGGAGATGGCAGTCTTTAGAAGTGGGGCCTAATGGAAGAAAGGTAACTGAGAGTGTGTCCTTGAAGGGGCTATTAGGATCCCAGCCACTTCTCTTGCTTTTTGCTTTCTGACCACCCTGAGGTGAACAGGCCTCCCTTACATGCCATGTGTTCCTGCTATGATGTACTGTGCCACTACAGGCCCAAAGCAATAGGGCCAAGTGATTATGGACTGGAACCTCTGAGACCCAAGGCAAAAATCAGTTTTTCCTCCTCACAATTTGATTAAAATCTTGTTTTGTCACAGTGATGGAAAGCTGAGTCACCCTTGGCTTCATATTGAACTGTCATTCCTGGCTATCACCCAATATGGATGTCCTGGGTCTTCTGCAGGGCTCCTGTGCACTTGGTTTATACACAGACACAGACATACAGATACACACACAAACACAACACACACTGCATGTAGCATGCTGCCTGCTTGCTGTTTATCTCCTGGAGGAGCCTGTTTTTCTAGTCTTGTGGGACATTGTCTAGATCTTGATTCTTGACATAGTCACTGGCATTTGGAGGAATTGTCCAAAATCCATTCCTTTTCCTGATTAGATCCTAGTTTCCTTTTTGGGGACCCTGCAGTCTCCCAGGGAACGCAGCAGTCCTAAGGGAGCTATGGAATCTAAGGGCTCCTGATTCTCACTGCTCTATGACTCTCTAATAGGCCATGTGTGTGTGTGTGTGTGTGTGTGTGTGTGTACATGTGTATGTAAAGGTTACACAGGTCAACCTCAGGTGCCCTAATTGGGTTTTTTGTTTGTTTGTTTTTGAGCAAATACTTTTAATGGGCATCATAGTTTACAAATACATCGGAGAATCGTGCAATGCTGCCTGCATTGGATGCAATTATGGGCCACAAGTCTGCACACTCCTTTGCAATTGGACCTGTGATGGCAGAACCTTTCATCTCTCCTTTTTTATTTACTATGACCCCTGCATTATCTTCAAAATAAAGAAACACCCCATCTTTTCTTTGGTATGACTTTTGTTGTTGAATTACCACTGCTGGATGGTACCACTTCTTTCTCTGGTTTGCCCTTCACTGTGGCCATCACCATGTTGCCCACACCAGCAGCAGGAAATCTGTTCAGCTATTCTTTGATTCCCTTCAAAGAGATGATACACAAATATTTGGCTCCTGTGTTGTCAGCGCAGTTGATCACTGCTCCTAAAGGAAGACCCAGGGAAATCCAGAATTTCACACCAGAGGACCCACCACTTCCTCACATCTTGGACG